ACTGTTTAAGCATGATTGAGTAACAAACATTCCAGTATCTTATAAATTTTCGCATTTATTAAATTATAAATATTAGCATTATTAATAGGCATATATTTTTTGTTACACTCGACAACTTATTTATACGAGTACAGGTACAATTTAGTAACCCTAATGTCAACGGTAGATACAATTTTATATACGTGTAATTTTATCTTTATTGGATAGAATACAAGAAAATTATTTTCGTATATTTTTCCTATGAAAAATAATTGAGTAAGAACCCTCAAACTTGTATCTTAGATTCTAATTATATATTAGAACTATTGTGGTCTTACACAGTAGACACCTACTTAATATAATAGTAGTTTTTTAGTTCGAAGTGTTTTTTTTTTATTATTATAAATACTACACTAATCAATACCTGCCTGGTCCTAAAGCTAGGATACCCTATGTTATGATAAATCAGGCAGCAAACATTTGGGAGCAGAAATGCACAGGACAGAGAAATTTTACTTCTTTTATATTAAAATAGTGGATTACGGTTACTATATCACTAACACATTGTAGTCCTCGACAAATACTATGAGCGATACAATATAATATGTAACAAATAGTGTTTATCAATGTACTTACCTTTACGACATTATACCGTCACCGAGACATCTGCTTTCTTATCTTTTAAGTGGGTATAAAATAAAATGTAACATTATATTATCCTTTAAGAAAACATAAAATGTTTATTGAGACAGTAAATTTGTTATGTTGAACTTGTCCAAGTTCAAGATCAAAATTTATTTGGAATACATAATATAATATCTACAGTATGGATAATGAATGATATGCAATGCATTTACATATACAGTAAAATGTATAATATATAATAACAAGAATGATTTAAGTGCGTAGAGAAGAAAACATAATGATTAATAATAGTTACTTATAAGAGTAGTGTAATTTTAGTTGGACATGCTCACGTGTTCGGACTCCGGATGTTGCATTATAAATTACGCTCCTCGGTAGACCGCCTTGACAGTCCTACGTAGATAGATACCGTAAAACTCAATTTAACAGGTCACTAACTGGGGTTATGACACCTCTAATGCTGCGATGAATGGAGTGGAAAATTCGTCAATTGCAATATTTTTTTCATGTACTTTATCAGGAAACAAAAAAACGAACTCATCAAGCGATCGATGTACTTAATTGATTAGTTTTTTATAAAGTGCATTTGATTAAACAATTGAATACCTTCTTGATGTCCGCAACTTACAGTTTCTTGGACCGACATTGTAGTTAAAAACGTTTTTGTATTGTATAAAACAAAAATAAATTACCGGGACATTGATTTGTAATACTTGCACGTTTTCATGAAATAAGTTCATATAATTTTATATATAAATTTATATTATAGACTATTAAAATTCAATGTTGTAATTATTCTTGAGAAATACTTAGATTAGAAATAGAAAGCAGGTCATTGTCAAATAGATAAGAAATGAACAAAAGAGAAAGAGTTTATGTAGGTAGGTATACAGTGTAAGACAATTTTTTAAAATCTATTTTGTATACGTCTTATTAATTTATATTTATTAAGAAATATGCAATATATTTGAGGATAGATATACCTACAACACGTGTGGGTATAATTTTTCCTAAGAATTTTAAAACAATAATTTAGATTGGTTTATTTCTGTATGAATATTAAATGTCAAAGTAAAAAAAAGATAATTTTGATATTTGATAGTACAAAAAAATCCAATTGCTGATATATTATATATTAGAATAATTATTAAATTTAAAATTTTTAAATTCTATTAATAATACTTAATAGCTTGTTGATAGAAAACATGAGTGAAATATAATTTATGTAATGTTTTATGACATATCATATGGAATGTAATTGTTTAATTTTATTCCTTTCTCGCCTTCATATATGTATATTATTTATTATTATTACAAAAATCGTTTGCTTTTTATTTATCTATATTGTGTGTTAGAGATAAAATATTACTGGAGTTTTGATTTTACTTAACTTACAGTCGTTTTTAAAGCACAGAATATTTAAAATATATTATCTATACATAAATATATCGTATGATATTGAAAGTAGTGGCAATTAATCTCACATAATTACGTCGAGGCTAATAGCCGCCTTCATAGTACCGACCTGAGTGTTGCATACGAAGCAATTGTTCGGGTTATATTAAACCAACCATGCAAATCGCGATCACTGTAATCGATATGCCCTCCAGCCTTGGCCCCAAATGCAGCCCGCTTGTTCGCAAGATGAAGAATTATGTCGAGACAGATGATGCTCTCTATTTATTTGTAAAACTACGCCGTTCACATATTATGGACGTGAGACCCACAATAAGTTGTCAATAAGCTTATAATAAACAAAGCCGTATATTATGAAGAGTTGTAGTAATAAGAAGAGAGCAGATTTCATAATTTGCAATTTGAAACAAAGTTATGATTTTGTTACAAGTTAAATAATTTTATCCAAATTACATACACTCTAGATGTCTTGCCATATATCTAATAGTCTATATGTTCAGTACTAAACTGCTGTTTTTAGCCTTTTGGACCTCATCTTCATCCATTATTAGGCCATATTGTATAGCTTAGTATAGTTATCAAATGTTTTCAATAACAAGAGGCCCAAATAACCAACAGTTTGTTATTGTGTAGTAATCCATATATCTATCTACACTCGTTGACTAAATTATGTACTTACATTACAATGGCAGCAGATTATATTCAATCATTTTTAACACACTTTATACGTCATTGAACGCTTTTATATTTATCTTAGCACGGTATAACGTCATACGGTTTTGTCGTTGTCATGCCGTGATACGGTAAATAAAAAAGTGCCAATTTATGATTGTATTATCTCAATTTGAAAAGTAACTGTATTTTATATGAATATATTTATTATTTAATTTTTCTTCTGTACATGTTAATAAAATAAAACATAACTATATAGGAGTATTTAAAATGGTAAAATTGAAAAAAATTAATGTTCAAATTAGATGATGCAAATAGAATGCGATGATTCATAGTAGACAAATAAAAGAATGTTCAACAGTGATTACGTAGGTCATTATCGCTGCAATGAAGATCATTGTCAAGGCGCCGTGGCGGGCGCACATGTTGTTAGTTAATAAATTGTTAAGCGCCCAACGGTCGCGAAATACTCGTGGGCACGTGGCACACGCAGCTAGCTACCGTAACAAATTAATTGATTAAATCAAGGAATCAAAATCGACCGAAGGTTCGACGAAAAAAGTTAAACCACTGTTAAAATTTAAAAGGGTATATGCCATGTCATATAAAGATATCAAGGACATGGCCTGAAAAGAGCTAGTTGGAGAAGATTCCTTGAAGTACTTGCCCCAATAAGAGTAAAATCTTCATTTCAGCGATAAAACAAAGGCTTTTTCCTAGGTTAAATATTGTTAAAGACATTGGTTTCAATTTAAGAAAATGAATATCAAGTCGGAGATCGACGAAGATCAAAATTAAAGTTGTAGACAAAAACCTACCTGTAAATAGGTTCTCATGATCTTTTTTCTATACGATCATAAAAATAAATAGTGTGGATTTAATCACTAGATATATATATTTGTAATTTCAAAGACTCAAAAGAACAGAACTCCATTTTATTAATATTTATGAGACACTGGATAGTAAGAGTATGTCACTATTTCTTTTTTTTTGACAACTTCGAAAAATCTAAATAACTGAACAAATTAATAGAGAATTAAGAGAAGGGGCATATTCTCTTTAATTTCTAAGGATCATATCACAACCTGTGGTACTATGGTATATATTTGATTCTAGATTCGATTACTTCTTTTATCATTTTATATAGAACAAACACAATTTTTTTTTTTAGTTTTGGATAAATAAATCCCAGAAAAGTTATTCGTATACAGATATGTTCCATTATCTCTAATTCTTCAATATAACATTAAATAAGTTAGATACATTGTCTTATACTCGACTAAAATATAAATATATCCTTCTAAAGTAACACATATTACATGTATATTAAGGTAATTCCGTAAAACAATCTGCGTTTCGTATTACAAAATTAACTGAATCTGATTGGCAGGTGTCAAATTATAATTTGTCACATGGATATGGAAAATTATAATTTAACCGAATACATAATATACCTATACACTTGGTACATACATTTGTTAGGAATTAAATTACAGTTATAGAATTACGAAACTGTTTTTGTTTTGAATTACAACGAATAGGTAATACGAGATTTCATGTAGATATTAAAACTAAATAATAATTTATTGGTCTTCACATTACGAGTAATTTAAATACATTTGGGATTCCGATTTTTAATAAAGGCAGCAAAATTAATGCATTCCTTTGTTGAAAAGGATCTATATAAAAGAATATTTTCCTTCTGCACTTAAGATTAAGTATGTGTTATTATTGTGAGGTACGGTAAACTTTTTGCCATTTTGCAATGTAAAATGACGAATGAGTCCGTGAACTTAAAATGCTAACAAGTTTTTTACTTAGATTAATAAGGGTTTTTTAAACCGTTATTAATAGATTACACGCTAATAAACTAATATATTATGACATATGTATTAACTACCGAAAATTATTGTTAGATTACTACTTTTCAATATTTTGTAACATGAAAATGCTAATACATATGCCGTATTTTATAATGTAATTATTTGTATTAATTGTACTGTATTTATAAAGTGTATAGTCCTATTCAGTAATACTTAATCTTATTCTATTCTTATTATTTTTGCTTCTTATGATATTTCTGTAAACTTAAATTTTGTTGATATTATCACACTCTAAATGAAATTAGTAATAAATTGAATCATTCAATTAATTGATTTATTCTATACATCAACAAACACTTTTATGTTTGGATTAATTAAACGTTTGTTTACCTTCTTATGGAAATAGATATAATTGAATATAATTTAATCATACAACTTTACATTTTTCTCTTGTTTTTATTTCAGTTATACCCAGTCAAACATCGAGCAGAGAAAAATCTCGACCACCACAAACAGTATCAGAAGACGAGCAGACCGACGTTGTGAGTTCGGTTATTGGCCATTATGGACGTTGGCAACTTCTCATCACATTCCTGTTAGCACTGTTCTCGTTTCCCTGTACCTTCCACATCTACCTCCCAACATTTACTGTAAGTAAATTAGTTTTCATTTTACTTTACATAAATAAACTCTTTATGAAGTGTTTATATCTATAAATAAAAAATAATAAATAAATATTATTCTTATTGTAATTTAATTTAAAACAGTGTAAAAGCAGAAAAACTGCTCTTTTATCTAAGATCGAGTTTTAATAAAGTTTGCATAAACATTTTGTCAACTGATGTCATTAAACTTAACACTTTATTTACGCATGGTTTCACTAATTCGCCGTTTAGGAATTTAGAATAACAAAAAATGCGCAATACAATCTCACTATGATGAAAAAGTAAATTATATACACCAATTGGGAAAATAAATTCCTTCTAAAATTAATATACTATAATAACAATAAAACCTTAAATAACAAACAGAGGGTAATTGTATCTAAGTTAGAGCGCATTAATGAACAAATTCATAAATGAATTCTATTACAAGTTTTAAAACGTGTGTACGTTTAACAAAATAATGATGTTGTCCAAATTTAGAGCCTTAGAATATCTTTGTGTCTTAATGTAGCAGAGACACAATGAGGTTGAGAATAAAAGATGAATAACCTACAGACGACATTTACAGCGTAGTCGTTGACATGCTTATAAATTTTGAGAATAAAAATATAATATTCAAGTTTTTAAATAATAATACCTATGTTTCGTTTTTCTAGGCAAAAACAACACAGTTCTGGTGTCGAAGGCCCGAAAACTTGTCAGATCTGCCAGTCGATATATGGATAAAATACAGTCAGCCGAAAGACGCATGTAGTGTGCGTGTTATTTCACCAAATATCACCTCAGCCTATATTTTAAGTAATCCAAATTATACAAATCCTTCTGAAGAGATAATCAAATGCGACGCTTGGGAATTCAATAGATCTGAAGTGGGCGACACAATAATCTCAGAATGGAACTTGGTGTGCGACAGAGCTTATCTCACAAGTTTAGCAGAAGTATTCTTCTTGGTTGGTGTTGGCATTGGAGGAGTTGTGGGTGGATGGATCTCAGATAGGTATACAATAAATATAATATTTGTACTTAAAAATATTTGTGCGACAAAATGAGATATCATCATTACAAATTAGCATGTAAATAAATCATATCGAAGTCATCACACCTTTTAATGGATTTTTCTTATTTTTCGTTTATACGTGTTAGATGTCAAAACATTAACGTGTTAATCTTAAGTGTCGTTTCTTTTAAATATATTATATCCACTTGCATTTCATAGGTTGAGTACTGAAGTTTTGTTTTATCCAGTATATTAAAGTAGTAGTTATCCAAATATATTGAAGATTTAAATAAATAGCATTAACTCAATAGTTTGGCCTTGAAATCGTTAAATCAAATTATAATTCATATGAAAATTCAAGTGATTTACTTTTGCCGCATTAAAATGTCATTTGCTTGCCTAACTAATCTGTTTGTTATAATTAAAATTACAACGAATCCAACATTAAAAGAGAGGGTAAGGCGACCGCAAGGTCTCAGACAGATTTAAAATTTGTCATGGTATTCATTACAGTTTAGTATTAATAAGAGATCAAAAAATTTTCGTGACTATATTTATACTTAATTTATATAGCTTACATAAGCTTTACATAATAATAATACGGCCCTTATGTATCTATTTATGAAAATAGTAGATATACTTAGTTACCGCGTAAAAATATATACAAAGTTCGTAAAACTTAATTTATTATATCCAATATTTTTTTTAAATTATTGGATAAGTAAATAAATCTGTTCTTTAATAACTAAAATTATTTTTATTTCTTTTTTTTTAGATTCGGTCGCAAACGAATACTTATGGGCATGGCAGTAACACAGAGCGTACTGGCTATCCTTGCTCTATTGGTTCGTTCCTTCGTTCAATATATTATTGTGAGACTGGTGATGGGACTCGTCTCAGTGTCTGTGGTTTATGCAGCATTTGTGTTATCTGTGGAAATCGTGGGTGGAAAATGGGTGACGATTGCTGGAGTATGCAACTTCTTTCCACTACCACTAGCGTACATCATTGTATCGCTAGTATCACTAGTATTACCAAACTGGCGTGATTTAACATTGTCACTGTCGATACCTGGTTGTGCGCTTCTTGTCTTATGGTAATTATTATAATCGAATCAAAATTTGATTATTTTTTTTTAACTCAAAGAAAACGTTTTATATTTAGACAAGTGTTGCTTTCTTATGTGTCAGAAAATAAAGTAAAATTGTAAGAAAATATGTTTGTGTTAATTTAGATTTTTTTACATTCGCTTACATATAAAGTGCGTTAACGAAAGCTGAGTTCCATATATTTATAAAACAAGTCTTGTCATGTTAATAAAAATCATATGTTATGTACATATTTTCAGGTTCATATTACCAGAGTCACCGAGATGGCTACTAAGTATGGGAAGAACACAAGAAGCAAAAGCTATATTGATAAAAGCAGCAAAATTCAATAAACTTGAAATACCAGCAGATTTGGATAAAATGCTTATGGTTCATAAACCTGAGATGCAAGATCAGGAGCCAAGTGTACTATTATTATTTAAAGGCTATTTACGGAAGAGAACCGTTTGTTTATTTGTGGCATGGTTTGCGATGACAATTGCTTACTATGGCTTATTGTTGAATATCGGCAATTTTAATTTGGGAAACTTACACGTTACGTCTATAATATTGGCCGTGGTCGAGATTCCAGCCATAGCCATGAGTATCCCTATTCTTCTGAAGGCTGGTAGACGTATTCCCATATTTATCAGTATGGTAGTGTGTGGTCTAGCGTGCGTTGCAAGCGAGCTGTTTTCGACGTTTATCAAAACTGAATGGGTTGTGATCGTATGTCTCACTATTGGCAAGTTTGCGATCGGTTCTACCAATATGATGCTTCCAATATTCACTGCCGAGCTTTATCCCACTATGATAAGGAATCTTGGTGTTGGTGCAAGTCAAATAGCTGCTGGACTGGCATTAATTGGCATTCCGTACTTATGGAAATTAGTAAGTATTATTATTATATTATTCATTCACTTCCATATAGGAAATGCGTAAAATAGTAAAATTAAAATCATTGCTAATTTCCTAAAAAGAAACGTTTTAATCTCAGCTGTTGATATTGGTTTTTTAGCTTTTTATTTTTTTAATTATTTAATAGATAAATAAATGAAAAATGGTATCTGTTCTTTTTCCTGGTTTCTATAATCCAAATTGAATCCAGTTTTTTTAGTTTTTTAAATAGATAAAGCCGTATAGAATATATAAATATATGTGTTAGTACAGTGAAAGTACCATAGAATGCTTTTAGATCTCCAAAGATATCTCTTTGTGACGAATAACATATATTAAAGTTCTTTAACTTTAACTTGTAGCATAATGTTCAAAAAACAATATCTCCAAAGCAACCTAAGATAATTCCAATGACGTACTCGTACTTAATCAAATTATAATTTTACAGACGGTACTCAACGACCATCTGCCAATGGTAACAATCGCTGCTTTGAGCGTGGTTGGTGGTGCTATTGTTTTAGCTCTACCTGATACTTCGAGGTCCAAAGTATCCGAGTCACATACTGACAACGTAACGTAAGTGTCTGATACTAATTTTATTGCGTTACTCTATTCACACGTACCACTATACCACTGATATTAAAAATATTAGAACACTATTATATACAGTGTTGTATCATTTTTAATATTCTAGAACCTTTTAATGTTTTAAGGTTTTCCACTATTGATAAAAGTCACTGCTGGTATTACGATGCGACTTCTTAATGACCCTTCATTATACCTATTAATTTTATATGATATTTTAACAGTGGAATAAAATTTTTTCCTCAAAAAATGTAACACGACCTTACGACCACGACGACAGCGATTAAGGGAATCTTGAAATATTAATATTAAGTATATATACTTTCATTATTAATGTTTATTACTATATACTCGTACTTAGAATGCAGTTATAAAAAAGATACACAGCAGAGTGGTTATAGATTTAGATTTTTATTTGAACTATACCTACTTGTGGCAATATGAAAAATTTTCAGGAAATCTACTTACCTACGGTGGTACATATTTTTCTTGCAAAATTATGTATGATATTCTACTAGACATCATCGCCATCTATACTTTTATTTAAGAATTACTTCTGAACTATGTTTCTCTTCACAGGCCTACGTTTGACAGTTCGTCGCCGTGCAATGGTACATTCACCATATCCGACGACAGAGGGCGCTAATAAATACAAACAAATGTTTAATTTTTAATGTGTACATGATATTGTGAAAAACATTTTAATAAACACAGTGAGATAATTATTTTAACGAATTTAATAAATAGTAAGATATTAATTAAGTAAACGTGTAAAATATTTGTTACAAGTTTCAGTTGTAATTTTAGTACCTGTATATTTTTAGGATTACCATGGAAAAACATATAATATAGAGTCTTGTAGGTCTATCTGATTACGTAACGTAATCTCGTCTTACATGTTTTTTTTCGGAAGCACAAAGGGCAACCCATACCCTCTCATTTTCATAAAAATACTTATCATAATATATGTCACAAATAGTACAGTCTTATTACAAAAAGTGGTTGTCGTAACATATGCGCAAACAAAAATTATGTATTAATTATAATTTTAATAACATAGTTATACGTTATGAATAAAAAAAATTATAAATCGATCAATCTTTATTGCATAGATTTATAGTTACCTACATACATATACAACAATGAAAATGTTACCACCTAAGTCACTTAATTATTTTAGAAGTTCGTTTTGCTTTGTAAATCCTGTAATGCTTATTATAAAAATAATGTGTGCGGCTGGATCGTTATCACAAACTTTATAATATCAAACTATTTATAATGTATTAAACGTGTAAAATTAAGATTGTCTTAATATAAGTATATTTTCGATAACTTAGATATAGTATGACTTAGATGCACATAGCATAAAATATAAAAATGCGTTTGTAATTAATTATACCTACTATTACAATTATAAATTTGTGGCACAGTTAGAAACGTTATTCATTAAAGATGTATTTAAATGTACCTAATACTATTTTATAAGTTATAGTAAATAAGATATCTGATATAATTTTAAGTATTACATGAAATGCATAATTGCATTTAATAACTTTACAACACGTCAATTTTAATTCCAAGCTCTATGTTATCAAAACCGTATATTTAAAAAAATCTATTTGGATTATGAAATATAAATTCATCCATTGTCGGTAAACTTACAAATTCAAACAGACTGTACCCAATAATAACATTATAAATAAATAAGTACCCTCCTATGTTTAATTAAAATAAGATCTAAAATGTAGTAAATGTAAAGTGTTTATTCTGACGAGATATTGCTTATTTATATTATTTATTTATTTATATTTCATTGTACACATTAATAATACATAAAGAAATATAGCAGTGGAAAGCAAATATACAAAAATAAACTTGTTCCAGCAAATCCAAAGCGGAGAGAAGCAGCAATATTAAAAGTTATGTATAAACTTAAATTTATACATAACCAGTTATATCAATACTTAGCCACATAAGTTATTCAAAATTAGAAATATCCTTAAAATTATTTACTATAGCGCTGAGGTTATAGTAATTCAATTTACTTGTACATATTATTAATTTTTAGAAGTTTTATTATAATTTAATATCAGTATTTAAATACTATCTTAAATATCTTAGTATTATCTTAAATAATCTTATATGCCATTAGTTGCCAGGCCCATGTTTAATTCTGAAACAAATGTTATAATTTTTAAAAATAACTTGTCTGTAGATATGATTAAAATTGTAAACTTGTTGAATTGTTCTATGCTAGCCGTCAATCTCTCTTGGTCATACTTTTGAATAAAGGCTAATTAGTCTTATTTTTATACAGTAATATTTTATAGTGTCCACCTACTTGAAAAGAAAATATTACACCTTATATGTACCTGGCTTTTTTACAATAAATTATTTTTGTTATTAATGCATAATTTCATCGAAAATAAATTTAACACAAAATTACGATTTAAAATATCACAATTTATTTCGTGGATAGAACATCAGGTTTCTTTTATTTATAATATTAAAAAACTGCTCTAAGTAATCATAGTATACCAAATTTGTACGTTCAAAATTAACTAACAAATTGGTCGCGCAAACTGATCACATGAGTTATAATCAATTATCAAACATAGTATGACTTCATGTAATGATTAACGAGATGTGATCATCATATCTATTCTCCGATTAAGTAGATATCCTTACTAATATTATGAACATGAAAGTGTGTTTGTTTGTTACCTCTTGGCATTTTAACGGCTTCGTCATTCGTTATAAAATTTGGTATACCCGTACTATTTGGGATGGAGAAGAATAGAGAATACTGTTTTCAACCAATATAATCCAATTACTCGAACAAATTCGCAAGTAAAGACTTTATAATAAGATATACAATCTTCGATCTTTTTAATATATAAAATATAAGGCTCTGCGGTTACCTGCTAATGAAGAATATATTATTATTATTATTCAAAAACGACCCAATAATTAAAAAAAAAAACCTATGCATTCTTTGTCATTCTTCATCTTCATGTTTTCATATTTGGTCATTAAAATTTTTAATAATGTGTAATTAATGCTTAAAAATTATCTGTCTCTATACCTAGAGGCATAAAAATTTTTTCCACTTAACAATGTCTTATAATACTAATTAGAATTCAAATGGATTACTATATAATTGTATTTCATATAAGATTAGATAAACAAGTGTTCTGAAATAAGTGAAATTAATAAGATGTATATTATTTAGGCTTCGTACTTAGTACTTATATGGATGTAAAATAAAACCGAAAATATATAGTATAAAAAAAAAATTACTCACATTATACTTAATACATTAAAGCTGTTATCAATTGCCTAATGAATTAATCACAATTTTAGCTATGTTCAATTATAAACCAAAAATGATTAAATGGTTCTTTTTTATTTGTTGTTTAATTTCTTTAAGATCAAAAAATTAACTTGGCATGTTATTATTAAGCAGTCAACATAAAGAAACATGCATATTTTCTGACTTAACATTGAGAAAATACATTTCCTATATAGAATATATAGGAAAATACAACTTCAGCAGGAGATGTTAACAATTTGGAATTGACCGAGAAATTTAATATTATATATAACACACAAGTGTTTCTGCTACCCAAAATAATGACTACGTACTTCAAAGGTAACAAAATTATTAAAGGTCTACATGAAATTAAATTCAGATTATTTCATTAAAGTACTATTCTATGGGCCATCATTTAATTTTAATTAAATAATGGATATTTTTTATTTAAATCTATTATTCGTTTAATTTATATTAGTCCACACAATATATTCAATTTTAGACATAGAATTAAAGGAAGGATAACTCAGAATTACTTCTATTGTATAACATACACACAAAAATAAATAATATTTATAATAACATACACGTAAACTAATAACTGCTTCCTTACGTAGTTATTTTTCCTTAGAATAAGAGGCACTTAACTCCATCCTTTCCTGTGGGTGTCGTAAAAGGCGACTAAGGAAAGTTATTGATCGAGGAATTGGCGGCAGCGTCCCTTTTAAAACTTCACCAAAGTCTAACAAGGGTTGCCAATCCGCCTGCCAAGCGTGGCAACTACTACCCGTCAATATCTATATAGAGGCTTTTATACAGCAGTGAACAGTAAACGGTTGACATGATAATGATGAAGAGGCAATTGAATTGAATAAGTTTAGTATTACAAGTATCGTTATAGCATACATAAACTTAAGTACAAATGTCTATTTTAAATTAAAAGGGGCATTGACACCTTCGTCTAGGGCAGTGCATTCCCTTGGTCATCATTACAAAATGTCGGTAACGGTGACGAGAACGCACTGCCACGGCTACGTGACCTGCATGCCAATAATAGATACTGCTTTACACTGCAGCGAAACTTAGCATATAAAAGAAAACATTTAAGACTTAGACAATATTTAATACCTATAGTGTAAAATCTAGGATCGAGAATTTGTAAAACATTGGTGTTATCAACTCAATAAAAAAAGGAGATTCTCAATTCAATTGTATTTTGAAATAAATTTTGTTTTATTTGTTATGCGCGAAATATCTTGATACCTATATTACCGCTCAATCTGACCAATCTACTATTATAGATAATAATTTTACGAAATGTTCGACTTCTTGCTTCAGAAAATTGTTTAATTTCAACAGTTTCTGAATATTTGTCCTTAAGGTTCGATGTAATTAGTTTCCGGTCATTAACCTCTGATACAGGCGGCATCAATACATACTTTAACATTGAATTAGTATGAATATGACCCCAAAACATGTCCTATTGTGGTGGCAAATAGAGTACGTGTCGAATCAGAAACGAAGCATTGAAAAGGCGATACAGGACAGATAACGGGGCTTCTTATGCATTAGTCCTGACTGCTCTTCTAACTAAGTCACTAATTCTGGGAAGGGAATAGACATAGGAAGTGTATATTATCACAGAATAAATAATAATTTATGTTACGTTTCTTTTTTCTCTGTATATAGTGAAGCCATATTGATTTTTCATCAGTTTACGGAAAAAATTTAGAGGCATTGCATTATTCACCTGTTGTATCAGTGTTTGTATTCTTTTTAAGTTCACGATAGGAACAAATGATTTATTAAACTTTCTTAAATAAAAATAAAAGTTTTATATTGGTGTCCAGCCGCGTGAAGTATTGCGGGGAATGAACTATTATATGTACATAAAACTCTCACTCGTTTGCGTTGTGATGCTGCCGATACACTTTCCTGCGGCTGCGTGACCAGACTACTGCTTATGCCTGGCGAAACAACTGATGTAATACACCCGAAATGCATTATCCTGCAACCAAGCTAGAACGAAACTACAGTGATTAAATACTATTGTTGTTTTGTACAGATTAGTAAAGATTATTTTCATTTTTTTTTTCATATTAAGTAACCTATAATGTACAAAATATGTACTTATATCCTTAATTTAATAAAACTACTGTCGTTGCATTGATTACAAAATTAATAGAACAATCCTGACATTAATACATGAGTAGAAAATAAATAAATGCTATAAATAAATACAAAATGTAATGATGGTTGGTTCGTCTGTCATACTCGTGAACGGATTATACTTGTAGGGCTGGTTGACTCTAGTTACTTGATTTGTTACTACTTATTTGAATAAGATAACTCTGACTTCGTATGTGTATATCCATTTTATGTAAGTGTTCTATATTCCTAATCTGTGGTTGAAAAATCTAAAACGTCTAAATTTATACAATAAACATTTAAATTGGAAAAGAACGATAGCCTTACCTAAGACAGTTTTATATCGAAGATAAATACGAATAATATTTTCTTATTTCCTAATATTTTATTTTTAATAAAAAAATAAATTTACAGTAGCGTTATCAGGACGGTTTCTTTTATGCCGCTACATGGACGCGAGACCCCTTTAATAGTCGTAGTTAAAAATACTGGCAACTCTCCAGAAGAATACTGTTAGTGATTTCAAAATCGAGCTTAGGTTCTTTATATAATGAGTACATTGAGTGATCGTGAAATCATGTACTTACAACCGCAATCTCCCAGTACAATACTACCTTTTAGGGGTCGCGATCCACAGATCGAAAAATACTGAGATAGTGATTTTAAATAAATATACACTAGTGGAAAAAATTAAGATATCAAAAAAATATAAATTTTCGGTGATTTTTTAAATAGCTGTTAAAATTTTTTAAACTTCAAGCTTCAAATTGCATTTTTTCCTGCAATACGACCATTATTATCAAAAATAAAAAAACAAAACAAACAAAACATTTGAATAACCAACGAAAATTCAGATTTTTTGATCTCTTAATTTTTTCCACTAATGTATGATGATAGCTTTTGAAACTTTTCTTTGTGTGTTTGTCGGTTTCTGTGCGTTAACATTTTATTTAAAAATAACAGGGCTGATTATGCAGAAAAATTTATAGTATATTAATTTAAATATGACTGATTATAGACTATATTATAACGTTTTAAAAAGATCTGCAAAAGGATAAATTGACATTTTTTATCCAAGTAATTCCCGTAGGGAACTGTCTCTATTTGATAACAACGTATAAATATTAAATTGTTTAAAATTACTGATTAAAATAAACTAAACGTTACAATATTAATCTTATATGTTGTATTTAAATTATTATATAAAAAAATGAATTTTAAATTTTGTTTTATAATAGTGAGGGAAGGTTATTATAACACATGAGAATAAAGTAGCAGATACAATAAATGTACTGTGAAAAAAATATTCCTTACGACTGTACAATGTACCATGATTTTTTTACATATACACTTGATCTTCCCTGATAGGTAATATTAAAAAGACAAATATTTTTAAACATTAAATATATAAGTTCTATTCAATTGATAGGAATGCAGATGAAGCTGTATTAATATATTGTACTGTGTAATAAACTTAATAGTAGCTAATGTTACAAAGCACAGACTATTGCCACACCTGACATATCGCATGCTGTGAGCATTTCCATTGAATCACAAATCGAATTAATACAATACATGGTTGTGACGAGACCGATCGGATGTGTTACGTCATGTCCTTTTGTAATTTTAATGGGATCTAAATGATTACACTTGATATTGAATTGAGAAGAGTACCAAAGGTTTCTGTGACGTAGATACGAAATATAATCAACGAATCTGTAGTTAATTACCTGTCTACGTAATATCAATGGATAATTACAATTACACTAGCAAAGAAAAATGTAATGTTATTGTAAAGGGAATCTTATTACCTTAACTACCAGGTATATTTCTCACATTACACAGATTGTATGTCTATTTAAAAATAACGTATAATAAATATTCAAAAAAACGTAATAAATCTTTGATTTTCTTCATCACTGAAGCAAACTAAGATTTGTGTGGTTTTGCAAGTGCATCTGCATCAATATTGAACTAGATATAGGTATGTTGAAAAATTAAAATCTAACTAAACATGTTTTAGGAAGTTTCTTGTATTCCTTATTTTTTTATCAATAACAAAAGAATCAAATTGAAGGATACTGTTATTCATTCTGTCTATTCGTCTGTCTCTATATCTTAAACTTTAAAAAAAGGTTTATTCGAATCCTAAATTGAAAATTAAAGTAGGACATTAATTATTCTACTTTTAACATTCTATGAATAATATTTATAAATTTAGATAGATACCATAAATAAGACTCGCTATGTTTTATACTATAACTGTGGAAATATTCGTATAGAATACGAAAACTAAAACAATTGAATATTAATTAATTTCTTATAGCTCGTTTAGCGGTATCATCGCGGTTAGTGCAACCAATTTGTGTGGTAGTGCATTTAATTGCGGCACGGGTGCGGTGTGGGGTACGTTTGTAGTCAGTCACCTTGCAATAAGGTATGGCAGTCGCGTCGAACACAGGGCGAGAGTGGGCGACCTCATATAGCTTGCGCGGGAGGTGTTTCCTTTATTTGTTGTTGGTACTCGGCGTGACAGTGACGTGCCACGGGACAACATGCGTATATTACTGGTAAGTACAGACGTGCCCTACCAAGGCCGTTTACTCTTATCACCTTTCTATCAATAAAAAAATATATTTTTTGAAATTAATCTTCCCTATTTGTTGGATGATAAATTTACTCACAGCCCACCTATTACTAATATTATATTATATATGAATACATTTCAATAATAAATGAAAATTATATTATGTATAATAATTACTCAGAAATTTATAAAAGAATTTAAAAAGTTTTTTTTTTCTTTAAAGAACAATTTTTAATTATATTAATTATCTAGCAATTATATCTACCTTGACTTATAAAATGTAACTCGTTTACATTTTACTGTAAAAAATAAACGCAAGTCTAACAAAGGACACGTTGTGAAAGTTAGATAATCTAAACAGATAAATTCCTTGCACAGTTACTTCTATTAGTAGTTGTAAGTACTTACATACCAATCGATATAAATATTATGTAAAATGAATTCAGGTCGACAGCACACTACCAACGATGCAGGTATTGGTTTCGCGTGCCAACCTTGGGCTGGTCGTGAGCCGACAAGTTATTTCAGTGCAGCCACAAATCTCGTAGTTGATAACCTTTCGACACATAAAAAATGTTGCCCTTCTTAATTCATAACGCGGAACTAATTGTTTAGTGCGAACGCATTATTTGGCAAGTGACTTGTTGTCATATTAACTGTAGAATTACGTAAAACACGCGAGTCTAACAAATAGTCGGTTACGTTATGGTCTGTTATTACTAACAGGCTCAACTACTACTAGTTTAAATATTGTACACAGTAAGTCTAACGTGTAACTAGTATCTACTATTTCAACAGTACCTAAATACAGGTTTGATACAAAAATATTTGTAAACTGACCCGGCTGTATGCCTATTTTGTTATTAATGTTATTGCAGAAATTCCTTAAAAGCTAGAAGTGATAAAAAATTCGTGGGAACTTTCATACTTTACTTAACAAGTAGTACAATCAATAACCAATTATTTTAGAAAGCCAACAATGTTTACTGCTTCATAGAGCAACACATCTGTAGCATCCAATTTCCTAAGAAAATTACTTCCTGCTATCTTTCGTGTTACGTTTCAATACAACCCAGTTGCAGAGTCGATAATAGCCTGAGTTTATTAAGTTCCTATAGCGTTAAAGCAATTTAATTAATTAATTCCGATAGTTAAGATTTTCGTAAAATTAGAAACACATGATATGGACATTATTAATTCACACTTACTGTACTATATCAGCGAATTTCAAACTTTTTTCGTGATTGAACCATTTGGGACGTTACATATAATACGGATCCCTCCAAAAAAAATCTGGCTATATTACGTATTTATTACCTATTACCAAAACTCGTATAAAAGTAGGCATTATATATTTTAGTTAAATACGAATATTATATTCGTATGTAATTAATATGCATTGATTTTATTGTATATTAATGAATCTGTTTACAAATCGATAAATATCTACATAACTCTCTTACAAACTATTCTCATTACATTCATATTTTTTTTTGCATTATGATAAACAAACAGTTTGTTGTATATCTTCTTCTTAATATACCTAATAGTTTCGACTTCTCGTTCCTTCTCAATAATAAAATAACTCAATTAGTATCTACAACTACAGATCATAACCCATGACTATGAATTGTTAAACTTTATTGGAGAGTTTAGAAATGAATTAACAGTACATGTAAAAATATGAATTGAAATAAAAAAGAAATGAAACAGTTTCTTTATGTAGCAATTAAATTTTATTCTATACTCGCGAAGGTTAATTTAATTACGTAATTTATACATAGGTACCAATTACAAATTTTAGACGTATGTTCTTTAACACAAAAATGTGCAGTGGTCGTTAAACTCATGACATTAACATTACTACTTGTTTATTGGTTTGACAAATGAGAAATATTATCCCAAATTGAGATTTTCTTATTTCTCATATTTATTGCTACAATCAGCGTTTTATGTTCAAATTATTACGACTCTGAGGTATTTTGCCTTATATTAAAATAATAGAAAAATAATGATTTATTTATTAGATACCAATTGTACTATGTGAAAATCATTACACCTTAAATAAAATTTAAATACTATCACTAGTTAGATTAATGATTTTATGGAAAAGAAAAATGGGATTTGGCCAAGAAAAGTTTATTGACTCAGCTAGTTTAACATACAACCTAGCGTGCACACCGCCTACATCAAAAGGAAAAATGCGACCTTAATACAAAAGTTAATGAACACTTTGACACTCTAACAGTGCAATCAATTGTTACGAAATTTAGCCTACACGTGGCATTTGGCATGGAAAAGAACATAGTATCTTTATCCTGATCACGTGCACAAAATATCAATTACAGATAGTATATGTACGATAACTATAAATATTGAAAACTATATTATATTTAATCTATGTATCTATAAAACATCACCAAAAACTAACTGCAGTTGCCAATCCACCTGCCAAGCATTGCAACTACTGGCAAACCCCTTCCCACTTATGGGGGAGGCCTATGTTCAGCGGTAGAGAGCTAACAGCTGATATGATGATGTCGCTGAATTTATGTACGTAAATTTATTTCGCCTTGTGTGCCTTGGGCCTTGCTATACCGTGGGTGTCGTAAAGAAGGGCGAGAAATGGGCAGCAGCATCCGTTCTTAAAACATCTCTAAAAGCCTAACTGCGATTGCCAACCCGCCTGCCAAGTGTGGTAACTTCTGGCAAAACTCCCCTTATGGGAAAGGCTTATATTCAGCAAGGAACAGTTAATGGCTGAAATAATAATAAAAATTATTCATTATGTTACAATTTAATAAACAAATACCTAATTATTAGGTGTAGGAACAATTGAAGAAGCGTGTTAGTTTTGTTATGAGTGTAGTTATATGACCAGTTAATAATGCCAATTAAATTGGTTAATTGGTAGATCGCATACTATTAACTAACCTGCATTTTAACATATTAATCTTGGTTGTTTAGTCAAAAAACATTACTGAATAACCAAATGTTTACTGTCATAAAAAAGTAAGTGTTATATAGATACTAGTTTCTACCCATAACTTCGTCTATATATTTGGAACTAGATAAAAAGTAGTCTATGTTTTTCACTCAATTATTGTGTATATATTTTTACACGACCATGAAGTTTATTTCATGACGATTGTATTTATCGTCTATGCTATGCCGAAAGATAACTTATTTTAATATTTGTAATTCCCCTTTAATATGAAGTAAATAAGCATAAATCGTCTGGTCCCAGCATAAGGTAGGCCTCCCCTTCCATTCCCATGGGTATCGTAAGAAGCGACTAAGGGAAAGTAAAGGATAGGCAGCAGCTCCCTCTTAAAACATCTCTTAAACTATTTCCCAAGCATGGTAACTATTGGTAAAACTCACCAAGGTTTAAACTTAACAGTAAACAGTTAATATAATGATGAAATAATATATGAATTAATATTAATTTCCAGTACTGAGTTTGTTACAATTTTGGTTATGCAATAAAGTTATTATTATTATATATTATTATATTTACGCACGACATCTTTCTATGTTACTTGACTTAACTAAATTATAAAATATTTCTTTTCTTCTGAAATAATTTATGCATGCCGTGGCAACCAGTAATTAAGCCAACACTATATACCTGAACTATTTGCATGAGATAAAACTGTAATCATAGTGGATGTCTTGTTGGTAGCTCTTATAAATAAAGAAATAATAGTGATAAGGATATTATATAACACTATTTATAGTATTTTTTAAATTCTAACTCTTATAAAGATGCTAATGCTTATAGGAATGTTAACACATTCTTGGTTAAAAAATTTAACTTCCAGATATTTCACTATGATGAGTTACGACTCGCATCTAAATATTCGTGCCGATTAGCAGAGAAAATCTATACTTTTCCGGTAAATAGTTACATAATACTATTTAATTAGTATTCAGTAATTAAGCGAAAAATTACTGACACATATCATTAGATTTTTTGCTCTAAACCGTAATGTAATTTGTAGGAAATCGTTTCCTTTATATCCCTATTATGTAAAAAAAAATTAGAATCTTTTTCAACAAGTACAATTATAGTTAAGTTATTAACCAAACTTTACCCAGTTTAAAAAAGGATGTGTTTGAATGCAGCTACATTTTTTTTATATTTCGACAGTTAATATGTTGGCAAATGTATCGTGATATATTTGCCAATCGTGATGCGAATTTATTTAGTCTTTTATTAAAATAAAAAGCTTAGGTAATTTCATTACTTGCGTTGCATATTCAAAGAAAGATCTCGTCGTCTATATTTATTGTTATAACAATATCCTTTTTTCGACAGTTTTGTTATAAAATATATTTTGAAATTTGTATTTAGCTAAACAAAAAACTATTGTATATAGTATTAGTACATAATACACTTAGTTTCCTTTTAAATAATCTTATATGATATTAAAAATTCTATATACAACAAGTCTGTATACATCTTACTACATTGGCATTTCTACTTGGCAAGCCGGCATCACGAAAATGCTTACATATATATCTTTGTCTTCTATTGTATAAAACATATTTTTTTTAATTCCCTAATCTAATTTGGTTGATTATGAATGAGATGAGATTTCAAAATATAAAAAGAAATTTGAAAAAAATAATCGGAATCTTTATTCCACAAGCAAACCTCTTGAAAAATAAAATAACATATACTTAAAACACATGTCACTGCCATATAACTTACGTACGAGTCGAAAGCGTTCAATTGTTCGTTCATTTTAATATCTTACAAAAGACTTCAACGAGCCGCCTACACTGTTTGTTACCATTATACATTACTTGTTTGTTGCTATACTCGGATTACTGATTAAGTTACGAAACACTTTGTACGTACTTTATATTTAAATAACGTGTTTATGTTTGGTTCAAAATAATGTGGATATTTTCAAGTAACCATTTATTTTAAAAGAAAAAATATCAATTTAGATTTTTTTTATTTCAAAAACAACCGACTCCTATTTTGATATTAGTTATATAGGATTAACTTAACTCTAAAATAAGAATGCAAATAAACTTAGTATTATCAGAGTAATTTTATATAAAAAATACATTTATTTAATATCGTATAAACATACAATACGGATGTAATAAAAAATAAAAGTATTTAAACGTGCTTACCATATTTAGTATAAACTTGTACTATTACTACACTGAGTAAGTGTAGAAATACGTTTAAAATATGTTAGATAAAGTTTTAAGAAATATACTTTTTTGCCTCCAATATTTTGTTAATATGTCTGGTTTCTTATACAAGATATCGTAGTGTAAGGATCGTTTCTTAGATATTTAATATTAAGAAATATAGTTAAAATATAGTATGCTTAATTTGTCCTTATAAATAATAACAATCATAGTCAATGTTTAATAACAGGTTGTTATTTCGTAATATAAAAACTAACAACTTCCTTCACAAATAATTAACTGGCTCTTAAGTGGTAATTACTACGGAGTCTCTCGAGTCAACTTATTGGCATTTTAGATCAATTAATATACTAAAACTCTATAATAAAACTATATATATATATACGTATGTATAATACGTACGATGTTCTTAACATTACATCCAATTATTTTTTAATAAACGTTATTTATATATTTATATCATATTTCAAACGTTATTATCATTTAAGAAAAAAAATGATATGGCCTGAACCACCAGCATATCCAGTATATACATCTAAAATCTATTACAGATATAATATATGAACCTGCTGGTCCATCTAAAATATGTTATATTCATAAATATGCTATCATCATCATCATCATTGTTGCCTCCCCCTCCTCCATGAGGCGTTTTGCCAGTAGTTACCGTGCTTGACAGGCGGATTGGCAACCGCAGTTAGGCTTTGGAGATATTTTAAGATGGACGCTGCTGCCCATCTCTCGCCCTTCCTTAGTCGCCTCTTACGACACCCACGGGAAAAAAGGGGTCGTCTTTTCTATGCCGAAACCACACGGTAAACTCGTTTTATATATAATTATTATATACTTTATAAACTTAGTATCACTTCCCACCAGATAGAATCAGTGGATACAGGTGGCTCAGGACCGTTCCTTATGGTAGTCTATATTCAGCAGTGAATAGATAACGGCTGCTATGATGATGATGATGATGAACTAATAAAATTCTAAACAATGTTTAATAGACAACCTAAATGTGGACCTAACACCATGAAATTGTACACATGTACGTTTATATAACACGTTAGCGACGCGCTCGGACTGCGCACAGGCAAATCGTTATTTTTTAAAAATAAAATACCCACATTACTTTTTTTTACTTTGTTAGATTTCTTTAGGCAAAAGAATGTTTTCAATCGGTTATTTTTTTTTTATTTTATCCATTACAAATGAAAAACAGAAATTTCCTCTTTATAGGATTGTTTAGATATGTATGTGAATACAGAGACGGGATCCCCGAAACTCCCAGAGGAACAATAAACGACACATTAGCACGATATATGTGCAATGTCATAGAAAACTAACACATTTACTACATTGACATTGAAGACTCAATGGAATTTTTCGCTCACTAAGAATCGAGAATTAAGGAATGCTCCATTTTTTTTTAAAAACCGGTACTATTACTTCATCTGTCCAGTCATTGCAATCACCTTCAATTGCGGAAGTATAATGTGCATGCCTCCGGGCGTCCTTTTTATTTTCACACTAGTTTTTATTAGCGACTTTGTCCGTGTAAGTGGGATTTATTCATTTATTTTTAATGAATGATAATGGAATGGTAACCCCACCCGCGCTATCGGTATACACCGGCGAGGCACCAGTAAAGGATGACAGGTGAGGATGAGTAGGTCAGTTAGCCCATCGTGACGAATTCAACAAGAATTGTTTACGATGGTTTCCAGGGGGAACCACGTGAAGGTCGACCTAATAAGGCATATTGCTAGCAATAGGGCTTTCAAACTCCATTGCTAACAATGCCTTCCCCCCCGGGATATATTGATTGACCAAAGTAAAAATTACGCTATCTCCTCCATTACAAATATTTCATGTACGCACGTAATATTTCTAATTTACATTTATTTTTAAATTCTTTACAGCACTAGAAACATAAGAATATTCAATAACATATAAACAATTCAAAGGGAATACAGTAGCATAAAGTGCAATATATACATAAAGGTACAAAAGGCGGTCTTATCATTAAGGCAATCTGTTATAGGCAACTTTTGGTTAAAGTAGAACATATAAAAGTGGATAGGTGGCGCAAGAGTGAATTAATTTTTACGTACATGAAATACAACTTATATTGCACAAAAATATCAAATACATATTTAATTAACTACTTATCATAACAAATACCATATAGCACAAGGAAATATGACAAATCCAGTAGAATATTACAGAAGAAAAGAAAAGAAAAACTATGGTGAAAGAAAATGCTGTTTTAATATACATTTATACTTTATACAAATCTGAGGACTGAACACTGCGTACAGAGGGTAGTAGCGAGTTCCATAAGCATTACACTACATGATGATTATTTATGCCGTAAAAATAAACTTTTTAGGTTTAAACTGCTATACTGATTAGATTTTGTGTACAAATTTACAATATTCGAGATTGATACTTTATTATAATTCACGCAGATAAAGCTGCAATTTTTTTTTATACAAACAAGCTGACGGTCCACCTGATGGAAAGTTGTAACCGTCGCCTATAGACGTGAGCAGTACCATGGACATAACAGAGTCTACTGTTTCGCCCATGATACCCCCCATGCGTTGCCATTCCTGAGGACTCAAGTGTTATTCCTCTGTACCCTGTAAATTCATGTTATATCCTACCTTTCAAACCGAAACACAGTCATGTAAACACAATTGCTTCACGATAGAAATACGAATGGGACAGAGGTACCCAAGCAATCGACTTTTGTACAAAGTCTCCCTCTGATACCTGTACCTGTACCTCTGGATGTACGCATATAACAATAAACACAAGGTATAGTAGACTTTTAAAAGTAGAATAAGTACTTAGATACCATTTACATGCGTTATAAGTTGCGACAATTCGACAAGTGGACCAATATTACCGAAACGATATTTCGATCACCTACTCGTATAAGTAATGTTTCTTAATGGTATGTTGTAATATTGGCATGTTGATATATTATAAATATTACCGTTCAAAATTTTATCTCTTAATTTTCTTTGTATGTATGAAATATATATATATAAAAAAAAACCTTTATTGTACCAATTTTTATGTCGTATTATACCTACACAAACTATTTTACCTAAAGAACATAGTACGTAACCAACATTTGATTATTAGGAGTTTATCAGTATCGTGACGAAAATAATATACCAATTCCAAATAGTAATAATATTTATAAGATTTCAAATAAGGAATTGTTAGTAATGGAACTGCTAGTAATATACATACTCTGTTAAATTGAATGCAGTCCCCCTGAAAATTGTAATTAATTCCCAGTATACTTATATACGATATCTACTTAATGAAAACAATTCACTACGAATTAATTTTTTGGATCCAATTAAACTACAATTATTATCTATATGTCTTACTTTTAATTCGCCAATGACTTTCACAACATTAATCGTTACATAATTATGGTTAAGCAGTTTCAGTTATTATTATTAAGCAAATAACCCTACGTAAGTGTATAATCTATATATGTAAAAAATAACGTACCGAAAATCATTATATTTACGTTACATTTATTTATTAAAAATAAGTTAAAACATTTTATTACCGATACGACTGATGGAACTAATATAATATGCAAAATCTATAGAATTGATACAGATTTTCGAATATTTACCTCATCTGAGATTCAATCAATTCACTTTATTTGTTAATTGGAACTTTATTTACAGGCACACGATATGATAAATATTAGATTTTTTTCATTTCTAATGATGAAAACTGTCTCTGCTTCACAAAGATGCAAATTTTATGTACATGCGCCCTTACCAACAAACTAGATGTTGTTCACTATCACTGAAGTAGATTCAATGATAATCCATAACATATTCCCTTTTCCTTTCGAGTAGGTATTATATTCATACATTTCATTGTTTAAATGAAGTAAACGGATAAACAGCTAGATGGGTACAGAGAATTTATTTTATTCTTTTAAATTTATAAATATGTTAGGGCCACGTTTTAATATTGAAAACAGGTGTATCTATCTAGTTAGATATGTGTTTAAACCACAAGCAAATGAACAAGGCCTACGGCTCTTGAAAGTATGCCAATGGCCGTAGATATAGGTATAGGTACTTATAGTACCTAAATATAAGGTGTTTGTATCAAGGTACTATTATCGATTCTATTACGACAACGCTTTTCGTGTATTAAACAAAGCATCAATCATTAATTTTTCAAGCGATTTCAAGAAGAAAAAGGCACTCATTTTTTATGTATTACTTAAAGATTTGCCAATTCCAACAATTGTTTTTTCAATCAAAAAAATAAGAAATTCCACATTAATTTGCTCAAGATTGAGGTCGTACTATTAACTTATCAAATAATGTAAAGATATTAAAAGATATAGATAGTAGTTTATTTTAAAACGTACTAAGATATATATGTATGCATTCGTATGCTAAATAATTTTAGGAAATTAAAAACTAAAAACTATATGACGATATTTCGTTTCTTTCAGATATGTATGCTGTGCGCAGTCACAGTTTTAGCGCAATATGATTCGCCCACACCACAAAGATTGCAAATACCCGGAGCAATTCCGGTTGGCGGTCCTACAAGACAGGGAGGCTTCAGACAAGCAAGAATACAAGCTCCAGTACCTGGAGTTAGTAACAGAATAAGAAGACCTCTAGGAAGGCCATCATTTAAATCTGTAGATGCTTCACCGCGACCTAGTCTTCAGTCACTTGATGAACCATCTAAACCCGTTACCGAAGAACCAGAAGAAGATCTGGAAATCAATACTCCTACTGCATTCTCACCCAATATTTTTTCAACATCTGAACAACAAAACGACTTCTTTGATATTATAACCACAACATCTCAACCAAAACCACCGATTGTTTTTAATCCAGCACCATTCCCACAATCAACACCATCAGTGCCAAGACCAGAGCCCATTAGGCCAACACAATACAGGCCTTTACTAGCACCACAACCATTTAACCCTGTAAGAAATGAAGCACCCAAGCCCCAGCCGGTAAGGCTGCAACCCCTTTCGAGTAGGCCTCAACGTCCTGTTTTCAGACCAGAGCCGAAACCATTTATTGAAGAAGAAGAACAAATCCAGCCTGTAAGGCAATATACACGACCACAAGAACCGATCAATCGTGCTCCAGTAAAAAGCGCACCTCAAAAATATAGTCCATCGAATCCACGTGAAAAGAAACCTGTTGCGCAAATTATTCGAAAATACAGAGACGAAAACGAAGATGGAAGTATTACGTGGGGCTTCGAAAATGACGACGGCTCTTTCAAAGAAGAAACCATCGGAGTGGACTGCATAACACGTGGTAAATACGGATATGTTGACCCTGACGGTTTAAAACGTGAATACAATTATGAAACTGGCATAGCTTGCGATAAAACCAAAGAACAACAAGAAGAAAAGGGTTTTATAGATTATCAAGAAAATAAAGCGGTACTGCCTAATGGAATCACAATTGATCTCGCTGCCATGGGTAAAAAATCCAAAAGGCCATTCAGATCACCTGTTAATCATTAGGATTAAGTAATTATATTTATTTTAGGAAAATCTAATCGTAAGGACATTTTCGATAGCTGGTGATTGATGTGTCTCGGTGTGTTTATTAATATAACACAGTCATCGTAGAAGATGGTTTTTATGTGCCTCGATCGATGAAGAAGTGAAAATAAAAAAATATAATAAATAATAATAAATTTTATTTTGTTAGTTGTAATATCCATAGAAATTCGAAATATTTATTTTAAATTTATTTGTGCATCATAGTAAATGTTCATCGTTATCATTATATACCATATTAACATTCTCTTATTGGGCACAGTTCTATTCCTATAAGAATATTATTTTACTATTATTACCTCTTCATACGTAGTTGTCACAGGAATTTACTTCCTTTTTTCCTTTATTTAGAGTATCATGCTGTGTCTCGATAGACATCTACAGAGTCCTCGAGTAATTATACATACATGAAAAAGAATTAGCTTGGTCTTATCATCATATTAAATAGTCTATGACTCCTCAAGAAATAAGCTATTAAATGCAAAAAGGATTTTTCAAAACTGACTGGTAATTTCAAAGATTAGCATGTTCAAACAATATTTGTTTTAATATTAGTATAGATAAAAAGTACCTATTATCTATACACTATTATAGTAGTAATGCAGTTGTTATGGCATGACTGAAGGGTAGAATATGGCAGTGAATTTACAGGGTACAGAGGAAGGATCTTACCTCATGAATGACAACGCATGAGGGGTATCATGGGCGAAACAGTATACTCTGTTATGTCTATGGTACTGCTCATGTCTATAGGCGACAGTTACCACTTTCCATCAAGTGGGCCGTTAGCTTGTTTTTTTTTAATGGATGATAATGGAATAGTAACTCCGCCTGCGCTAATGGCATACGCTGGCGGGGCACAGGTCAGTTAGCCCACCGTGACGAATCTAACAATAAATCAATCATATGGTATGCAGGGGAAACCACGAGGAGGTCGACCTGACAGGGTATATTGCTAGCAACGAGGCTACTAATCCCCATTATTAACAATCCCTTTTCCCCCCGCCGTCAGCTTGTTAGACCATTCTAGGTTGCATAAAAAAAGATAGACAGTATTAAAATAAAACAGGTCAAGTGATAGTTGATCTCACATGTCCAGGGTTCCGTACATTATAGGGAGTCACCCTTCGATGGGTCTCTGGCGGTGTCCCGGTAGACTTCAAAGCGGGAACCCGCGGCACCTTCGCTATTATGAGATGGAAAGTATATAGTCAGATTATTTAGCCGGTAGGAGTCCGGCAGTACCCACACGGTCCCTAAGCTGTGTGGGTCTGCATGATGCATTTTTCCTGACGTAAAAAAAAGGGTTCCGTAGATAAATATATAAATATAACACAAAATGACCTATATCGCATTTCTTATACGAAATAGTCACCTAGTAGTTATTATTATATTATTTCACAAATAAAAAAATAGACTAATAGTGGCAAAATAAGTTGTTTTGGTTCAAAAACTACAGTACTGAACCGATTTTAATAAAATTTCTATGGGACTAATCTGTAAGTAATTATATCCTTTCAGATAATATTTAAGAAAAATTTCAAATCGGTTTACCACTGACCGAGTTCTGAGAGAACATAAAAAAATTTAGACCTCCTTATAAATAAGGTCTAAATTTTTTAACAAAAGAACCCTTATAAATAAGGGTTCTTTTGTACTTTTTTGGCATAGAAGCTTGAAAATTGGATAACAATAATATTTTTATTGTTAAAAATATTTTAGTTAAGCATTCATGTAAATTAAATCCCATTAATGTTACAATTAAAATATTTTTATTGTTTTTGACATATCTTCATTCTTTTCAAAGTGCCATTACAACACTTTGAAACAATGGATCTGCTTTTCAATGTTTAGAATTCGTTAGGTGCATAAATATACAAGATCTAATTGTTATTCTAGCTTAAATCTACCTTGATGAAACATTTGATTTTGTTGTTGTTGTTACATCCTTCAATATCGTAAAGGGGGAAAGTACTTTGAGGATGCTGCAGTAGAACTCAGATAATTATATTAATATTAATGAGATTACTTAATTATAATAAAAATAGTTAATTGACGTATTAACGAAATTAGTAATTGCGGTTAATAGCCCCTAATGATTCATTAGAGAAGGACTTTTTTTTATCTATACTAAAGAGTTACTTAAATAGTCATTAAATGACTCTCTGTGCGGAAGTAAGCATTTTATAGTTAGTTACTATTTACCCTAAGGTTTTTAACGTCTACTTAAATAGAATTTGCTTGCACAGCGTTTTCTAGTTTAAAGATCAAAATAGATATGAATTTACTAACAATTCTAAATTTACCAGGTACTTTATAATTAAATTGTGCAAGACACAAGGATTGACATGACAAGAATCGTTACAATCGTCAAGCAGATCATACGAATATACTCAACTGCCACTCACAAAACATGAAACCATAGGTCTCAATATGAATACAAAGAAATGTCTTCATTATTAGAAATACTTTCTATATTTTATAATTAAGATTAAAAATAGGTTTAATATTAAAAAACCAATTGTTATGCACAAACTATCATAATTGTGTAATCTCATCACATTGTTTTTAGTACTCATGTAGGTATATATTTTTATTATTATGTACTATTATTAGAATGTACTGACAGTCTAAACCAACAAGTCATTAAGTGAACCAGTTTAATCTGTGATACTGAATACAAATTAAAACGGATATATGCAAATGTATTTAAAATATTCTATAACTCAAGTATAATTCTATTTTTGTATATTACACAGCACCATTTAACTTCAAACTACAACTACAGCTACTAGTTTGAGTATAGCTTACAGATATCATATTCTTTTGTAAGTATAATAATTATACTCTATGCACAATAAACACCCAGATCAATACAATTAGCCTTGCATGTCCATATTTTGGTTTGAAGAGATATATGGATATGGTAAGACACATTTTGCATGAGATTCTTTGGTGATGCAGAGTTTAAAAAAATGAAAACATAAAATAGAAATCTGTTGGATTTAAGGCTTCCACGACAGTGAGGCCATAGGCAATGGTATACATCACATGCACTTTACACCTTACATTATGGCAGTAATGTTACAGAGTAATCTACCTTGTACTTACATAATACCATAGTCATGAGTAGTGCTACAGACATGACAATGTATTCTGTGGTATCCATAGCACTGTGCATGTTTACTCATATACTATCTTGTGTCTATATATTTACCACTTTCCACCAAGGTCTGCTTATTTGCTATTCTAAGTTGCATAAAAAACCAAACAAATTCATGAATATAAATGTTTGTGACATGTAGAGATTGAGCCCCCAGCTATGGGAAGGTGAAAATGTATTAGACAGCTAAACCACTGTCATTCAATAACAATAAACTGGACATTAAAGAATACACTTTATTTACTATCATGTTTACTTTACTATAATTATTACTTAATATACACGGTTATTATTATATGCTTGGGGACGTCTCATTGGTGGAGGCATTCTATTTGGTGGAGTAATTGATATATCTAAGTAATAGCCAATCTGAAACTTTACTTGAGATAATGTTTTATTATCATCACCACCTCTCTGTCCTGAGCATGTCACTCCAATTTCTCTCATGCGGTAAGTTGGAGATCTCATATCTGGATATACTATTGCAAAGTCAAAGTATGTTCCTTTGCGTCGAGTTTCAGGGTTTACTTCTCTTACAAGTCCTGTAAGTTCACGGAGTGTTGCATCCATCCAGGTATATATTTGGAGTTCATTTTGAGGCACATTTCCTCTAGCATAGTCACCAGGGGAATTGTGGCGTCCAGTTGAGCAGAAAACCCGTAATAACAGTGGACAAGTCTGTAAAAATAAAATAATTATTAGAAATATTAGTTATTAGAAATATCATGTATATTAATCTACCCGCTTACATTATCAGAAATAAACAATAGCATTAGGCATATAAAATGGGAAAAAGGATACATGAATTTGGATGAGCAATGTAACAATGTAACAATTTTATGAAGAAAAATTAGCAAATTTATCTTTTGCTTAGATTATATAGATAAAGCCTCGAGTCTCAAAAACGGGTCAACCTTTTGTCAAAATAGCTCATTAGTTTTTTTTTTATTTGTACAAAATACATTGTGTGCTTAAGTATATAGAATATACTTACGCACACAATGTATTTTGACGTATTATTTGATAAATAAAATAAATTTTTACACATTAAAAAGGTGCAGAATTTAAAAGACACAATAAATATAAAAGTTATAAAGGAACTCATAACATTTATCACGCAAAATTGTAAAAAAGGTGACCCACTTTTCTCGAAGCATTTGTATGGACACACTATCTATATAATCTATCTTGATTTCTATTGCAATAAATTTCTATCTTCTATAATAATAACACAAAAACTAAAATCACAGTAGATACCTTTTCTCTATCAACTGGTTTTTCTATAGGTTTAATCTCTTCTACGACCATCGATTCCATTTTATTTAAAACTTTTATAGGATGAAATTAAGAAAATTAATATTTATTTCATTAAAGAATAAACAAACCTCAATGAAAGCGTATATAACCAAGAAAAAAAGAAGCCGTACTTCATACAAGCCACGTAAAACGACTTGGTCAGGAATATCTTAACAATATACACAAAAATACTCCTTTTCTTGTTATTTTGGCCAGCCTGATGTTCATAATGGAAGCTAATACGGCAATTTTTTTTAAACTGAAACGCATATATCATATGAAAGAAAAATATAAATTTTATCTAAAACTGCACGTTTCGATGAATTTCGTAATATTAATGATAGTGAACACAAGTTTTCACTATCAATAATATTACGAAATTGAAATCTCCAGATATATGTATAATAAAATATATATTGTATAATATAATAAATATATTTAGGAATTTTATCCTTTGTTTTATTTATGCTAAAAAAATATTTATTACAATGTGCTATTCGATATAAAATTTATATATCTTTTATCAAATGATGAGTAAATTCTTTTATTATACATTTTATTAATATCGAATAATTATCTAATTATAGTATCATTATAACCTTATTCGTTTCTGTTTTAAACATTAGACTGGCTAACATAACGAGAAAAAGATTTTTTGTGTAGTTTGATTAAATATTCCTGACCAAGTTGATTTTCATGGCTTCTATGAAGTATGATCTCTGTTCTCCTGGGTTATATCAGGTTACATACTCTTTGCACAGAACAAGTAATCACTACCATAGAGTAAGTACTCGCTATATTATAAAAGTTGACACTGGCCTTATATCAACGGAACTATTAGTATATAGTATTATACCACTATGTATGCATCCATCCAAAATATCGATATCGACATTTGCCATAAAGCCTAGCTATTTCATAACATAAAGTTTTTAATCTTTAACAATAAAATTAAACAAATACATATATTTAATTACTTTATTTTACTTTACTACAATGTTTAATCCATTTTTTTAAAAGGTAAGTAATGAAAATTCCCTTTGACGCATTAAACAATAATTAAAAGCATTGTGTCGTCTCAAACAGCATCTGACAAAAAATCACGTATTCAATTCTAAACAATATATACATATTATATTACTAGCGACCCGCCCCGGCTTCGCACGGGTGCAATGCTGATACTAAATATATCTACCTACTACAGAATGTCCTTATAAATAACATTTACAGCTTTTTTGTCATTAAACAATACAAACGAAGTGCGGCCTTCGACGCACTATTATATAGCCACGCGCCATTAATACATGCAAACTTTAATTATACTTACGTTTATATTTATATTAATTCATACGGAACATTAATTTATTTGTGTTTTTTATTTATTGCAACGTAATTTATTAAATAAAATATTAGTTATTTCAATAGTTTTAAAAATATACGTCTAAAAGAAGCCTTATTTTTAAAATGGCGCTTTAACTAATTGTCATAACTAATTTAAGGTGGTGAGTTTTTTTAAACGTAAAATAGAATAATAGAAAAAAAAAACATTCCCACAACTATGTTCTAACTGTCGCAAGCCTGGTTAAATAACTTTTTTTGGCATATTTGTTCACTAGAGGAGCAGGCTAAGGTAGAGACCATTCTGCCAAGTTTTGATAAAGCAAGTAATCACTAGCTGTCACTTCGTCTATTAAGCATAGAAGACTACAGGTACTATCTTTAATCTATGACATTAAATCAATTTTTTAATTTACAACTTAAAATAAATCAAAGAATTAACATATAATACAACTTGCTTATCATTTTATAACATATATTTATCACAGGTATAGAGAAACAACATATGAAATCATAGATGGTCAAGGGCTAAGTAGATTGATATGTACTTGTAAAATGCCAAAAGGTAGAATTACTTCATAACTGTCCTAAAATCAACAACAAAAAAACCGCATTTAGTTAAATAGTCTATTATCGGCATGAGAATAATTTATCAAATGGCCTTCGTAGACCATCCGAGAAAAATGTATTTATTCTACAAACGTATTGTTTGTGATTAATCCATTTAATAATTAACACGTTATAGAATTTGGTAATACAATTTTTAATAACATAACAATATTTATTGGCATTAATTTACAAATAATACCGATATTTATCGAATACGTTTAGTTGGTATTAAAATAAATATTAGGCGCTAGTATTTATCTACTTAAAAAACGTTTTTCCAAAGAGGGTTGACGACAGGCAAGCATAATAATTGGGATAAGGGTATGAAGATGATTATTATTGTAATGCAATTATGGAAAGCCATCTACATCATCATCTCATACAATATAATAAAAGAAGTGTGTGATACTAATGTACTACGTTTTGTTCCAAAATATTGATAACCATAAAATACCTAGCCACTTCACAATTTTCAATATTTATGAAGATGACATATGACATACTATTAGTAGATAGAAGAGTAAGTACATGAAACCCTGTTTGGGTATAGCAAAATTATATTGATAGGTAGCTAATATTTATGTCAATTTAGAAGTCAGTCTTTAGGTATATAATATTTATGTCAATCTGATTAATTATTTGCAAGTCATGTGTGATTTGAACCGTGGCATGACGCACTTCTCCATTTCAACTGGCTGAAAAGTCGTCAACTGAATAATGGCAATTTGCTATTAATTTTTTTTTTAATTTAGTATGAAATAATTAATTTGTCTTTTCATTCTTTATGTCTTCTTGATTATTTTATTATAAATTTGTATCGATCTATACAGTGGGCTACTTCAAGAATATAGATGGGTGAATTATTTATTATATCTCCCTTTAACATGTAGTTTGAGCACAGGCCAAAGTGGTATTTTTGGGGTTTCAGTCAGGTCTGCGAGAGATGCAATAACGACGTTCTTGTATAAAACTGTACTACCTAACTAATATTAAGAAACTGTTCTCCATCATGTCGAATTATTTTTAATGGATGATAATGAAATGATAACCTCGCCCGTGCTATCCATATACATTACCGGGGTACCAGTGAGAGATAATAGGTGAGGATAAAATCGGGTCATTTGGCCTATTACAACGAATTTGACAATAATAATTCTCAATAATTTCCAAGGGAAACCTGACAGGTTATATTGCTAGAAATAGAGATTAAAGCCCCCATTACTAACAATCCTTCTCCCCCATCATGTCGGATAATAGCCATCTGGAATAGACACTATGAAAGTCAACATATCACATACATACAATAAGTTAATTCTTAATTAAAAAAAAAATGTAATACCATTTTTAGCTCCATAACAATAGAATTGCCATAATGAAACTTAATTTTTTAAATTCTTAATATTGCGTAAAGATGGTTGCATAGAATTTTGATCAAATAAAAATTTTAAAAGTTATATGGACTTGTTTGTACATACAATAAATTTGTTTATTGTTTGACAGATTTACTAATTTTTCCTACCTATACAAAATTATTAATCGATTTAATGTTACGTTATAATAATCCAGTTTAAATAGCATTTCTTTTATAATATCATTATATATCCGAACACTTGCGGATAGAAATTGTTATTAGCTATTATTGCATAATGGCTCAGAAAGAGGAAGACGAACCATTTCAAGAAGACGACGTTTATATTAATCAAGAAGATGGTATGCCGAATATTCATCCTAATATCGCGAATTTAGAACAAGAAAGTGATGATCCGGATGAGGTGGATGATTTTGATGACATACCAAAATCTGTTATAGTTACAAACATCCACAGCGATGTTTTCACCGATGAAAAACTAAAACAAGATATGGAAAATCTCTTCCGTACATTTTCTGATAACATAACATTTCAGTGGCTTCGTAGTTTTAAACGTTTGCGTGTGAATTATGATAATCCTTTAGCAGCTGCCAATGCGCGAGTGCAACTACACCAATATCAATTTCATAATTCGTGCATTAATTGTTATTTCGCACAACCAGTGACTCCAGTTTCGTTTAAGAATTTGAGGCCACCTGCTCCTGTGAAACAGTTCCTCATCTCGCCGCCATCGAGTCCTCCCGTTGGGTGGGAACCTCGTGAAGAGGGTGAGCCTTTAGTAAATCATGACCTTCTTGCTGCATTAGCAAGTCTAGCACCTGGGGAGAGTCATGAGCTTCATGCGCCGACTCCAACACAGCCAGCTATTATAGTTCATACTGCACTATCAAATGATAACAGTACCCCTAAACATGGATGTCCACTTCCTCATACTCGCTGCCCAGATTATTGAAATGCCTTTAAACAGTCTAGTGTATTTATTAATTACAACCAAAGTATGGATGCTTTTTATTTTACATGTCGATGTCAAATTTGACATGCGACTGTAATGCCAAAGACATCCAACAATATTACTGTGAAGTCTTTCTTTGTAAAGAATTTGGACAAGTAAGAAATTATATTGATTATAATTATAGGCTTCTTAATAGGTTTTGCTTCCTAGTTTTGTATTTTGGCAAAAAACAATCAAAGTTATATTGGTGCTATATTTTGTCATGAAAGGGCCATTTAGGTTGCTCATACTAGTGCTGTATTTTTTATAATAATAACTAAATCTATCTCAGTTAATTATGCAAATTTATCCAAAACAAAATTTTCAGAATTCATACATCCAACATTAAATTGAAATAAATATGATTATGTCAATTCAGTCAAGAATAATTATATAATTTTTTTTAATTGCTTATATACTTGCTCTGGCAGCACTCAATATTGTAAACTTAGTGAGAATATTTATGGAGATTTAAAATATAATTACCATTTAGTACCATTTGTGATTGTGAATAAACCAACATGTATGAGCATAAATTGATAATGGGTTAACATATCAGAAAACTTGTGTTCTAAATAATAGACCCCATGTTACCCAATTGGCACAAATGCCATCCTTTGGTATTTAGTATTTTTGGTTTTGATTTGTTATAACAGATAGTGATAATGCAAAGTGGCATATTTAGTAATATATCCTTATTTTTTTTTAAATATTGGCAATATTGACAATTTAAAATAAGGCAGATAAAATAAGAATATTAGACAATAATAAATTTAAAAAAATTTAGTTTGTTTATTTTATGAACCTGATATTTCGATATATAATTTTTATTTACTAAGATTGATTACTAAATATGCTAAGTTGTTGATTATGAATTATATTGATTATGATTCAATCTTTAAAGTCCTTCTTGTTTTTATATTTGTCCACTGAAGTATGCCATACCATTTAATTGCTAAACAGGCCTAAAATTTATATCTCCCACAGATTATGTTATTACTGGAGAATTTGGAATTATAAGTGTAAGTTCTATTATTTATTGATTGTTTAAGCAACCTTACATTCAGAGATAAATTAATCAACCTATACAGAAGTATATAAATTAAAATGATATAACTTTATTTCCTTAGAGGAACAAGATTTATAGTTTTAATTATAATACATATAATAAGTAAGTACAAGAAAAATATTTTTTGTAGGTACTAGCTACTGTACCATAAATAATATTAAAATGAAACATTGTTCTGAAGTAACTTAATACTTATTTATGTTTATATTAACTATTCATAATGCCCTATCCCATCTGTGATTACAGTTTTGAGCACAGTAATAATAATTTTATTTACTGAAGTTTATATGTAGCAAAGTTTATTGTTAATCATTCCAGAGATACATCACCCATATAGTCAGAAAGGTTTTGTCATACTGATTTAAGCTTTGAGGTTGTGATAGTGTTTCATTTCACTGAAGCCTTATGAGGAACAGCTTGGAAGGGATAAAAAATATTTCTTAATTATATGTCAATATAAGGTATATTCAATATTTAATCTATACCTTAGAATTTTGCTAAAAGTCTCCATTCATTTCTGTATCAGTTATAAAGCATATTTATTTTTTCAATTAATATTTCAACACAGAAATAAGTTCTAATGCTAAGCTTCAGTTAAATCAATATTTACAGTGTGTATATATTATAAATTATTTTTATTATTAACAAAAACATTTTGTCTATATAAACTGCTTTCTAACTGGCACTGTTATCAGACTAGAGACCAATGGTAAGAAGATATGACAACAATGCAAGATTAATTATATTGAAATATTTGTTGATTAAAATCTGAATGTTACCCAACAACCCTGCAAAATATCAATTTTGATAATTTGTTTCTGGAAATGTAAACTTTTTAGGATACCTATTTAGAATTTGTGATATTGTATTGTGAAGTTTATTATATAATTGTTGACCTGTAAATAATATAAATTATTTTTGCAACAAGCAACATTAGTGTAAAATGAAATTATTTTGAGATTAGAGAATTCGAAAAGAGCTTGTTTATAGACCTGTTCTTGTGATCTACAATTTAATATCTAGTATACTTTTTTTTGAAGGTAAAGTTTTATTTAAAATTTTCAAAAATCTGTAAATCTAGATTTCAATTTGTAATCATATATACAATGAAAAAGTATTTTAATGCGGTCTTCAACTCCTGTTTATGAGAACTATGCTAATGGATATATATATGCACAGAAATTTGTGTTTACTAATAAATTCAAACTAACTGCAACGCGCTGGGAGATTGTTATTCACCTAATCACTTTCAGTATTTCTATTTATTTTTTTGAGACTAGGGGCTTTTGTTATTAATTACCTATATAGAGAAAGAGAAAAATGTATTTAATAGGACAATACGAAAATAATTGTACCTATATAAATCTATCTATAAATCAGCTAAAATGCTGTTCGTGCTTATTATTATTATAGTATTGTGATTAACTTCAACATTTTTTATTATACTTTTCTCAATGTATGGGATAAATATAGACATAATATATTAATTTATTAAACAAGTGAACATCAATTTTGGTTATAGTTCCTAGTATTTTCTTTATACACAATTTTTAAATTAAATGTTATGTGAAAATAATTTTGGACTGTATCAGTTCAAAATGCTCTGTGAATTAATCGTGTACCTATTTTTTCAGATTCTTTAACAATACCTGATGTTACTGAAATTCGACAACGTGGTACCACATTTGATAAAATGGTATCTAAAATACTTCCTATCTTAATATGAAGTGTATCATATTATGCAAAATATAAAATCAGCTAAGTACATAATCATTAAAAAATATATTTTGAAACAGTACTTCTAAGTCAACTAGGGAGCACTTATATTTTTTGTTTTTGAGCATATGTATACTTTGTGTATTTATGTATTTTTTATGTATATACTTCGGTACCTACGATAAAACTATTTCTATTCTACAATAATTACTAAACAGTTACCATGTACTTAAAATAGTGTTTGTTAAATTAACTAAATTACAAAAAATACGTCAAGAAATATTAATTTATAGAATTTACTTCTATTATAGTTTTTTAGTTTATAATGTAGAAAGAGGCTTCAAAGAAAAGCGTAAAATAAGTAATATATAAAAATTAAAAAAAAAATGTTTTGGTTTTAAAGTTTTAACAAATTTAACAACAATGTGATTTAAGAGAAAGTTTTTAGTATTTCAATTGAAAGTTGGCTATTTTTTGTATTTGTCTCATAACATTAATTAATAAATAAATTGCGATCTCATTCACTAAAAATAGTATATTAATATTAGTTACGTTGATTTTTTTTCTATTTAAATGGAAACAAGGTAGTAATTAACGGTTAAATAATCGATACCTATTTTAAACTCCATATACTACGATTATATTGTTGGTACCTTTACTTTGATCAATAGGTAAATTTTGGGGTTATAGTATCTAAATAAAAATGTACACCAAACAGGTGGTATGTAGGGATTGCCCACAAAATCTTTAAATGTTAGGTAGGTACAATTTAGACCTCTGCTCTACTTTTAAAAGCGTAATAAAATTGCCATAATATTTTAAGGTGTTAGAACAAATTAAACGTAATATTTATTATTTATTAATGGTAATTGTTTGATATATACATTAACTTGTTATTAAAAATGTTTTGCGAGAAGCTTTAAAATGATACCGTCTTATTTTCACAACGAGAAGGTCCGATTTTTCCAAAATAATACAAGCAGAAATGTACCTACTTACTGATTGATTGTCAGAAAAATTTTTGTAAAACGATATTATTAGATTGGAAATAATCGATTTCAGTATAGCTATTTGTTTATCCACTGAACCTTCATTACTATGTACTTTATGGGTGTAAATTCTATCGATGTTTTTTAATCTCACTGTGATTTTGAATTATTGTTTGATATAAATAAAAATATATATTCAGTTTTATCTGCCTTTTATTCATAAATCCATTAAAGTATGCATATTCCAGCTATTCCAGATAGCAAGATTTTTATTTTGTCAGATAAGTAAATATCTATATAAATGTACCAATGAATTGAATTGGCACCTGTATAATATTTTTGTTTACAATGTCTACAAATTTGCAAATATCAAATCACAGTCGAGTTTTTTTTTTGTATTAATAACCTAAATACTATTACATCTCATCGAAATTTTAAATATATATAGTTATCTTTATTAATATTATAAACGTGATAGTGTGTTTGCCTTAACATGTAAAAACAAACATAGGCTACTTTTTATTCTTATCAATAAACACATTCATTTGCTGCCAATTTTGGAAAATTTTAACTTTCAGTCAACTTTGACCCGGCATGCTGTAATCAATGTTTAGTTCGGGACTAGACGCTGATATGTCATATGTCTAATAGTACTAAGTAAAAAAATGGCTATATTTTTTTTTAATTTGTACATTTGTATATTATATTATTTGTTACATTTATGTGTTTATGAAATATTATATAGAATGTAGTTAATGATAAAATCCATAAATAATTGACAACTTTATTAGTCCTTAGTATGCACATATTTACAAAAAAATATTTACTTTATACAATAAACACTACCCTAATTTCGAATCACATATTTCTAAAGCACTTTATTTTTAATCCTTTATGTAGGAACTGGCCAGGAGTAAAAATTTGAACTGTCACATATAATAATTACTGTCCCATACATGGATCAGTAATACCAGTATAATATGCATATGAAGCACATTTATAAGTAATAATTACAGTATATTTTTTTTGTCTCTCTCTGAATAATACACTATCTCGGCAGGTCTTTATATCGAAATAATTGCAAACAAGCTGACGGCCCACCTGATGGAAAGTGGTAACCGTCGCCTATAGACATGAGCAGTACCATGAACATAACAGAGTATACTGTTTCGCCCATGATACCCCACATGCGTTGCCATTCCTGAGGACTCAGGTGTTATTCCTCTGTACCCAGTAAATTCACGCCATATCCCACCCTTCAAACTGAAACACAGCCATGCAAAGACAACTGCTTTACGGTTGAAACACGAATGGGACAGAGGTATCCAAGCAATCGACTTTTGTACAAAGTTACTTATTATTTATGTATTACATATTACTCTTATTTTTTATGTCCTGTTTCGAATAAAAGACCTTAATGTAAAGATTGTTTAGGTTTTAAATGTTGTATAATATTTTATTGCTAAATAATAAATACAAGTAAATTATTTTTATAGGACGGGAAACGAATTAGACATCGAGGAAAAATACTTGCATAAGTATAATATTCAAGCTAATAAATTTTCTTAAATAAAACTTTATTTATTTTAGAAATAAGTAACTTTATTGATAGTATAATTTTCCTCCACGTCTCGCTCATTTATTTCACCCTGTGTAATAAAGTACAATCTACTTTTTTTTTACAACACAGGGGGCAAACGAGAATGCGGCTCACCTGATGGTAAGTGACTACCGCCGCCCATGGTCACCCACAACACCTACGGCATTGCAGGTGTGCTGCCGGCGTTTTAATGAAAAGACAGATTGTCCTTCTATAATAAATTTATATATATTTAGCATGACTAGGAGTAAACGTGGCACAAAATTTTTTGGTAAATATTGTTTCTTTCTGTAAATAAAATAGCAATTGTTGATAGATTTCTGGGAATTATTCTTTGTTTTTTAATTGGTTATAAATACCAATGTAGTATACAGCGTGGTATATAAATTCTAGACACACTAACCAAAATTATAATTCTTAGAATCAATATACTTATAAAATTAATATCTACTTATAAATTTAATGGTCGAAGAATGAGGAGCAGCATCTTTCTTAAAACATCACTAAAGCCTAACTGCGGTTGCCAACCCGCCTACCAAACGTGGCAACTATTGGCAACACTCCTCCTTTAGGGGAGGTCTATGTCCAGCAATGAACAGGTAACTCTACTTATAGTATACACAAATATATTATTACTAAAGCTTATCACTGTTATTCAATAAAAATAATGTTGAAATAAAATATTAACTCGTATATGGGGGTTTGTACCTAGGTAAGCTCGCAACTTTGTTCCATGTGATACTTTCGGATGGGCGGCCATCACTGATTTAAATGTTAATTTAACAACATAGTATTCCTATCCATAAATTAGTCAGAAAACTTCTGGATATCTGACTTGGTTGGTCTGTCATTTAAAAACTATTATTTGTTTAAGTTACGTTGACGCTAATAGCTTAATCAGAATAAGTCACTATTAGTCTGTCTTTTTCAGAATCAGATCTAGTTTGGTCATATAGATAATCAATTTTCATGCAAAAAGTTTACACAATAATAAAACAAAATTTTGAAAAAAAAAATGGAATTTTCTTGTTTTTTTCTTACTACCACTTAAAATTACAAATATTTAACAGTTAAAATTAAAACAGTGCTAGCGGTCTTGTCAAAGAGAGAATCGTAACTTTACCGTTGTGTTAAGAAACGGAACTTTATCTCAAACTTTTTTACTCATATCTTCTAGAGGCACCATGGATTCAGCATTTTTATCTTCTTCAGTAAAGGTTTTATTTCTTTTTTTACCAATACAACTGGCAAAACATGTATCCCCTTTTCCGAAGTTTTCACCATCTGCCAATGTCTGTGGCATAGGTTGATTCATTGTCTCTGGTAAAAATAAACATAAAAATCCAGAGACCAGTGCTACAATACCGAATATTACAGCTGGAATTTTAGGATTAAAAGAATCTAATAAAGAAATTAGAGGTGTCAAAGCTCCTGATAACCTAGCGCACATCGAACCGAGACCCATCGCGGAATTACGAACTACTGTTGGAAATAACTCTGCAGAGTAATTATATATTATAGCAAAAGATCCAGCTATAAATAATTTCCCTGCGATAACAATTGCTGTTGATAGTGTGCTACCTGCTGGAATAAAAGTTGCAACAATGCACGCAATGCCGCCTACTAGCATCATTGAACTGATCAAAGGTCGTCGACCCCATATATCGAGAAAATACATAACTGCGGCGTAACTTGGTAGTTCAACGAAACCCATAATAGCGGTGATCAGATAAGGGTTCCCTTCAAGCTTACCAGTGCTTAGTGTGAGGCCATAATAAGCAATAGAATTGGCAAACCAAGAGAAGCACACGTTCAAAGTTTTCATTCTTAAATTTGGCGTTTTAAATAGATCCAAGGTACCAGCAGTAGGTGCATCATCAGACCCTTTGGATGCTTCTACTTTACCTCGTGATACTAAATCAGCTCTATCTAAAGTGTGTTCAGATCTATTACATTTCAAAGCCTTTTCAACGATATTTACCGATTCCTTAACTCGACCTTGAGCCCAAAGCCAACGTGGCGATTCATCCATAATCCAAATATGTGGGATAAGAAGAAGGCTGTGTAGTCCGTATATTACTTGAAGTATTTGTCTATTATCTATAAGAGCTCCCCATCCAGCTACTAACATTATGCCGCCCGCAAAGAAACCTTGAAATGCGACTCCACATACAGTTCGTTTGCTCGGTCCAACAATCTCCATAGTTAATACAAAGCCAGTTATATAAGAACCGGCGGATCCAAATATTCCGTATAAAAATCTGATTGCCAAAAAAGACCAATATTCTGGTATAAAAGCTACAATGACACCGAAAACCAATTGTAACACACCAGACCAACAAAATATTGTTTTCCTTCCATATTTGTCAGCCATTCCTCCCAAAACAACTGCACCAGTAAATACTCCTAACATGTAGACAGTTTGTGCTACTGCTCCCATCCACCTCTTATCACAAACTAAATTCCATTCTATAGCACGAGAGGAAGATCTGTATTTGGTATCAAACACCCATTTAGAACAGGCTATGGTTTCATTGTTTTCATACAAGTAACAATTTGACAAGCCACCGGATGGAGTTTGTGGTATTGCTGTTAAAATTTCCGTTGAATTCCAGGCCGCTATAGAATCTTGCGTATCTACTCCATCAACCCAGCACCTGAAAATATTTACATTTTCAAATAAATTTCCTAATTGTTTAGTATTATGTCACGAAATTAAGAAATATTTATAATAATGGAAAGAATTAGGTAGTTTATCAAATAAGTAATACCAAATCTTTATTTGGTATTAAAAGTACCTAATTCTTTTTTTACCTAAAAGTTTTTCTAGTCTTTACTAGAAAAACTTTTTCATCTATTATAAAATTTTCTCACATTCCAGTAAAGGTTTTCTTTATTATAACCAATCTCACTGAATTAAGTATTATATTGCAGCAGTGTATGTCGCCGGTTAATTAATTAGATGATTAAATAAAATATTTAGTTTAACTAAATAACCAGTAAAGCCAATTATCTAATAAATCAAAATTTTACTGGTTGCCTGTTATTTATCACAACAGTAGTAGGTAGGTATGAATTGTAAGAGCAAATAAGCATAAAATTACTCCATAAAAACTTAATTTTTTTAGAAATGTTGTAGAATATTAGGAAATTAAAATGTATTCTATAATGTATTATTATAATAGTATTTTTTTATATTAATTCCATACGTATAACTTATTTAGGTATTTTTTATCACATCAACCCTGTGAAAATTTTTCGAACTTTTTAATTTGTGTATTAATTTTTGACAGAAATATATATACACTATATACTTTATATATATATATATATATATATATATATATATATATATATATATATATATATATATATATATATATATATCTTAAAGCTACAATAATTATAATATTTTGAATTTTTTCATATTTTCACTGTGATTAATACAATCAAAATAACATAACTTTGATAATTATGATAATAGTACCTACTCGTAAATAGGTAAGAAAATAGATACTGCATCCTCCCGCATATTTACTTAGTTACAAGTTGTAATGAATTATACAGGTGTACGAGGAATAAAATAATAAAATATGCAGTTTTATAATTGTTTATTGAAACTATAAAACAATAAGATGTTATTAATTCAAAATGTTATTAAATTGAAAAATTAATAAGTACCTATCCTTAATATAGTAAATTACCATGCCAATAGATATTCATATAGCTTTATTATCTTTTATTTATTAACAATTAAAACAGGCAAATAAAAATGCCATACATTTTCTAGTTATAGGTATGTATATACGTACAAGTTATATAGGCAAATAAACATTATGTTTAAAAATACAACCACAATAAACAGATCGTGTTCATTCCTGTAAAATATTATTATTACCTATTGATAATATTACAGTGATAAGGCACTAGTTTTTTATTCAAATATTAAATATATGGTACAACTTTTTCTACATTATTTGGTTATATATATTCATATGTTAAAATACAATATGTGTTGACAATTATAATAAAAAATTAAAAAAATAAACGTATAATATCAATATACATAAAGAATAGTACCTATTTCCTACCTAGAAAGAAAAGAAATAAAATTATAAAACGTTGTACTGTTAAACAGTGTTAGACAAATAAGTAGATCTATAGATTTATTTAAAGAAGAATAGAACACTATTTGTTTTCCATTTGTTGAAGGTTCTATTTGCGTTGCTTTGCTAATTATAGGTAGGTATCTAGTTATTTAGAAAAACCTACACTTACCTATCTATATTATCTATAACATCTAGGTATGTAGAGAGCAAAATAACTACAATAATTCATATATTGTTTAATTTTAGCACCATGGCAGATAAACAATTACAAAACATTACAACCTAAATAAATATAGGATATGGGCATAATATTGAGAATATATCACGGAACAAAAGGAAGTCTTAGATCATTGGAAGAGATATTTTGAAAGTTTATTTGAACGTGGAAGTGAAAGAAAGAATGTTGAAAATGAAATAATGGACGAAGAAGTTGACAGTGAAAGTGATATAAGTATGGATGAAGTAATGAATGCAATGAAGATTATGAAATTTGGTAAAGCAGCGGGATTCGATAGAATATCTGCCGAAATGCTTAAAGAAGGTGGAGAAATCATTGTAGACCTGCTGTGTCTGCTGTTCAATAAATGTTGGCGGTCCGGTTGTGTTCCAGGTGACTGGAGCAAAGCTGTTATTGTGCCACTATATAAAGGCAGCGGGTCACAGCAGGAGTGCAAAAATTTCCGCGGAATAAGCCTTCTTAGTGTTGTAGGCAAATTGTATGCTAGGATTTTGATTAAAAGAGTGATGAATGAGACGGAAAGTAAAATTTGGGATGTGCAAGCAGGGTTTCGAAAGGGTATGGGATGTACGGATCAAGTCTTTTCCTTAAGGTGCATAACAGAGAAAACCTTAGCTCAACATCAGAAGGTTTTCTGCGCCTTCATTGACCTTGAAAAGGCTTATGATAGAGTGGAGAGGAATGAACTGTGGTCAACACTGGCAATGTATGGGGTGAGCAGCCATTTGATACGGGCATTCAAATCTTTATATAAGGATTCAAATGCCTGTGTCAGAATAAATGGAGTCTATACAGACTGGTTTGGCATTGAACGCGGTGTTAGACAGGGCTGTGTAGCGTCTCCTTGGCTGTTCAACCTATTTATGGACAGTTGCTTGACCGATTTGAAAGGATCTAATTGTGGATTCAGGATGAATGAGTCTCTGTTTAAGACTCTTTTATACGCCGACGACCAAGTACTTTTTGCATCGTCGGAGTATGAATTACAACAAATGGTGACTATAATGAATGAAGCGTATGCAAGAAAAGGTATGAAAATAAATGCGAAGAAGACGAAGGTAATGGTTTTTGAGAGGAATGAAAGTTTAACGGCATGCCAGATTATGATAGGAGATGAAAAAGTAGAGCAAGTGAGTGAGTTTCTATATTTAGGTTCTTTGTTTACGAGGGATGGGAAGTGTGACAGAGATATTGAGAGGAGAGTAAAAGCGGGAAACAGTGTTAACGGTGCACTGCTCTCGATTATGTCAAGTAAAAATGTATCGAGCAAAGCTCGCCTTGCTATAATTCAAGGAGTACTGACACCAACACTCATGTATGGAAGCGAATCGTGGGTATGGCAGAAGAAGCATGAAAGTAAGATAAATGCTGTACAGATGAGAGCTTTGAGAAGTATGTGTGGTATTACTTTAAAAGATAGAGTAAGAAACAGTGTGGTTAGAGAGAAGTGTGGACTGAAAGACGATGTAGTGACAAAAATTGAAAAAGGAATGTTGCGTTGGTTTGGTCATTTGGAGAGGATGGATGAAAGAAGAATTACGAAAGAGATTTATCGAGCAAGAATGAATGGAGATGTCGGTAGGGGCCGCCCTAGACGGACGTATGTCGACCAAATAGGCGACGTGCTGAAGAAGGGCCAAATTAAAAGTACCCGTAACCGACGAGCGTGTATGACAAGATTGATGAATGTGGAAGAAGCGAAAGAGGTTTGTTTGAATCGAAGCATTTGGCGTTCCATTGTTTCTGCCTACCCTAATGGGAGACAGGCGTGACAGATATGTATGTATATGTATATGTATAATACGATATATTTTGTCTGTGTCACTTAAATACTTAATGTGACCAGACAGACACGTCTTAAAATTATATATTCAACTGTGAATACTTAATTATACAAATCATAAGCACCTCGCGCTAAGGCCGTAATATTAAATAAATGTAATTTCATCATCAGATACACGAATCATAAATGACAAAACACTCTAATAGTTTAGATATTAGTTTTTATGAATAACGGCTTTAAAATCGTAAACGTAGACATTAATATTCTTCTGTCTTGTAAATTAAAATATAAGTACAATGCAGTGAAGTAAACAAATTAAAATTTTCTGCGCGTGTACTATTTCCGCAAAAAAAATATGATCTCATGTACATCACTTAACATAAAGTATTATTTTTAATTCGTGAATACATTTTTTCTTCAGTGAACAATTATGATATTTAATAAAACAAGAATTATGATGTAACACAAAAGTAAATAAAATAAAAAAGCTTCAGGTAAGGGCATAATCACCTAATTTTCTAATTAAGTATATAATAGATAAAACAAAATAATGTTTATATATTATTTATTTTATTTTTATGAATGGTTTAAACAATACAAAAAACTATTATTATTACTACTAAAATAAGTAATTTGTATAGGGGAGACCGGGAGGGTGTACTATAGAGTTGGTTAATTAACGGCAAGAAACTAGACATTCCAAAATGTTGCCTCATTAGATAATTAGTTATGTCTGTTGTTACCAAATGATTGAAGCTTAGGATTGAATTGTTTCATATATTTTATGAATAATACGTTAAGTATTTTATTTGTCATATGTTTAAATATCTGATTGTTTGTAAAATTTAAAGTTTATTTATTTCAATTGATAAATTTATTTCAATAAATAAAAACTAAATACAAATATTTGTGGTATCTTCTATTCTATATGTCTCAGTGACAAGTTAACCAACCTCAGGCATGGGGTAGGTTGACTCATATATCATATTCTATGAAATCAATTTGTACACTATATCATGATTTATTGAGAATTTTTGTCATTGATTTTCTTAGCTTAAGTGTACCTATTAGATGTACTTGTTTTTACAATAATTCTATTAATATTATAAATGCGAAAGTTTGTAACGATGGATGGATATTTGTTACTCATTCAGGCAAAAATTACTGAACTGATTTAAATTAAATTTAGCACACAGGTAGGTTATATCCTAACTTAGTATATATAATACTTTATGTACTGAAGCCGCGGGGTATAGTTAGTCTACACTAAAATAAAAAAAAACAATAATGTCCAAGATAAAATTTGATCAACTATCCCCGGTCTCTCCTACAGAGTTACAATTGTCGTGAGTCAGTCTCAATGCAAGGATATATGAGAGCATTTTGTCTATTTACTTGTTTTGAAATCGACTAAGCTTAGCCATTATTTTATTTTTCATGCCCTTCTGGCTATTGTATTTATATGTATTTATTTTTATTATGTATATAATTATACAGGCTGTAATGGAAATCGTTAGCATTCTTTCAATGGAACGTTTTATCAGTGAAATTGAATACTACGGCGCGTCCAACTGTTAGGATAGCATATTAGTAGTAAGTTAGAGTAGCATGGATATATTGTTAATCAGACGTAAAGCTAATGATTTTGATTTCACCTGTATATGAATACTTAATATAGACTCTGTTATACGTAATATAGAATATGTTATAAAGAAAGATAGAGCTTCTTATAAATTCCCATATTTTTAAACACGTATACATTACACACATGAAATTGTTAAAAATATTAGTTTACTAGAAATTTATACAATATAATCTGTAGATGTTTTATTGTTCATAATGTAATGACTTGAAAGAAAAAAGAAATCAAAAATATTATTGCAGTTGCGATATTTTATACATATCAAACGTAATGAGAAATAGTCATAATATAAATATAATCTATTTATAAAACTTGACTAGATTTTTATTTATCTAGTATCACGAAAAATATAAAATTTGCTCACATAAACTTACACTATATACTACACTAGTTAATTAAGATAAAGTGGTATCTACTATATTACCATTAGAAGTAAGGAGTAAAATAACTTTTCCTCTATTACCTAATAAAATTTAACAATATTATAACAGTTACTATTAAGGTCTTAAATATTAACATGGTACTTACATACTTAAGTGCCTAAGTGACGATTACAGTGTTAAGACAACATTTTCCCTGTATTAATTGTACCTACTTTATATGTCCTGTAGAATAAACATATCTATATAATATTTTTCTTTGCTTCTCTCCTAGTCTTATTAAGTGCTACCTACTTATTTTTCTCGCTTATTGTTAGTTACAATTTCATTTACCATGTGCATGTAACTGGCAGAAAAACAATAAAATTTGACTGGTAAAGGTTGACTAGTACAGAATGCTACTAGCATTAAGTCCGCCTTTTGCACCTTTTTTTTTATTTTGGTCAATAAAGTTATTTAAAAAAATAAAATAAAATAGAAAAATATTCACTTAACAAAAAATAGATTAAAATTATATTGACAATCGAGATTGTAAATATATAAAACTTTATATAAATTTTATGATTATAACCTTGCTTACATGTTTTCATAGTGTACAGTGTACTACTTATATTTGCACACTTATTACTTGGGTACCTTGACTTTTACATCATAATTTTTTTCAATTGTTTCCAGTGGTACCATTGTTTCTGGCAGATCAATTGATTCATTACTCATTCGACGACCCCTGCAATTCGTGAAACATGTATCACCGACTCCAAATTTTTCTCCATCCTCAAGAGATTGCGGAAGATTTCTCCCTATTGTTTCCGGCAATAAAAATGTAGAAAATCCTGATATTAATGCTAAAAATCCAAATATGATGGTAGGAATTTTAGGATTTAGTGTGTCGAGTAAACTAATTAGAGGAGTAAGTGCGCCTGACACGCTAGCGCACATACTTCCAAGTCCTACTCCTGAACTACGAACCACAGTAGGAAAAAGTTCGGCCGAGTATTTATAAATGATAGAATATGAACCAGATATAAAAAGTTTCCCTACCATTACCACACCAGTAGTAGAGGAAGATCCATGAGGCAACGCAACCACTATTAAACACGAGAGCCCACCTAATAACATCATTGTACTAATTAATGCTCTGTGGCCAACTCTATCTAAAAAATACATTATTATAACATAACTCGGAAGTTCCACTATACCCATTAAAAAAATTATGAAGTAAGGATTTCCATTTAGTTTTCCTGTGTTAAGGGATAAACCATAATACACTACAGAATTAGCAAACCAACAACCACATATTATCAAAGTTTTCTTCAACATATTAGGCGTTTTCAAGAGATCTATAGTACCAGCAGAATGTTCATCGGTGTATTTTGCACATGTTGCTTTACAGTGTGACACTAATGCAGGAGTATCTAATGTTTCATTTGATCTATTCATTTTTAATGCTTTTTCTACAATGGAGACAGATTCACGTGCGCGACCTTGGGACCAGAGCCACCGCGGGGATTCATCCATTAAAATCCAATGAGGAAGCAATATTGCTGCGTGTAAAGCGTATAAGATTTGCAAGTAGAATCTATTGTCTATTAGATATCCCCAAGCGGCCAGCAACATAATTCCCACCGCAAACATAATTTGAAAGACTACGCCACATATTGTGCGCTTGCTTGGACCTACTAGTTCCATTGTTAATACGAATCCAGCTATATATGAGCCTGATCCAAAGATTCCATACAGAAAACGTAATACAATAAATGTATAATAGTCTGTCGAGAATGCAACAGATATGCCAAATACAAGCTGTAAAACACCAGCCCACACGTAAGCTGTTTTTCGTCCAAACTTATCAGATAATCTACCAAGAACAAGAGAGCCCACTACGACACCAAACATATAAGCGGTTTGTGCTGTCGCACCCATCCAGCGCCTACTGCAGACTAAATTCCACTCTATACCGCGAGATGATGTATAATATTGCGTATCATATACCCAGGAGTTGCATTCTTCGAGAGTTTTATTTTCTCCGTACATCTTACAAGAATCTAATTTCCCATGTTCGTTTAGCGGTATAGCGCTCAATACTAATGATGAATTCCATAATTCTGTAAAATTTCCCATATCCACTCCATGTAAGGCGCACCTGAAAATTATAATGATAACACATTATTTTTTATTTACATTAAATCAATTATTGTTATAATTTTGATGTTAACATTAAGCATACATATAGGTTGAAATCGAAGTCGACAAAAATTTTGACCCTTCTTTATTAATATGGCATTTCCAGCTGATAAGTTAATATGAAAGGCTCAAATGTTTTATTGTTTTTGAATTTTTATTTACAAATATACTCCTGTATAAGACACAACTAAGAGAACTTATTGGTCGAGGGATGGGCAGCAGCATCCTTCTAACAACATCATCAAAGTTTAACTGCGCTTGCTAACCCGCCTGTCAAGCGTAGCAACTATTGACAACAGTCTCCCTCTGGGGGAGGCCTATGTCCAGCAGTCGACAGGTATAATAATAACTACTAGAAAAATCTCCAAATAGGGAGAGGCCTATGTGCAGCAGTGAAAAATTAACGGCTGATATGATCATGATGATGATATTCCGGTCTATGTTTGCAATATGTTCTGTAGCATGGGTAGATTTTTAAATTTTCATACAGTTAACGACATCGATTTTACCTTTATACATTTATACCTGATGCATAACATTCAGATTGTACATAAATAACTTTTATGTTACATTTACAATAATAAAAGTTTGTACAGGAGATATCTATAAAATATTTTTAAAATTTAAATATGTACATTTATATACGATGAAAGAAATACACAACAAACTCGTCATTACTCACTTACATTTACCATTAAACTTTGATATTTTAAATAATTTAACATAATTGAATACTCTTAATTCAAGTAATATACTACTTATTGTATACGTAATAAGTATATTTATTACACTGTAACTTTATTATTGGAAATATGAAATAAAAGTTATTTAAGTATAAGTTGTGTGGTTCAACACAACTGACAACAACTCCTGAGTTGTTAAATGTTGCCGATGATACCTAGTTTTCCCAAATAATATAAGTAGATATCTAGTGTTTTATACCCTGAAACTGGCTGAAATTTGAAATCATACTCTCATATTTCAATCGAATGAGATGACACGAGTTGAAAATGGTAATTTTACCCAAATGAAGTTAATGCAGGAATGAGTGAAGTGTTTTTTCCACAACCATACCTACGAAAAATAAATGTTTATGAACAATATAAAACGTATATATTTTGGCTCATTATTAATAAGATTTTACATAATTTTAGTATTATATAATGTTCCACAAGTTTTTTGCATGTTATATTATGCGCATTTTAGTAGGTCTATATATTTATTTAAGTGTAAAAACGTTGATTCAACGTTATATAAGTACTTAAATAAAATGTACCAATGCGTAGATAAGAATTAATCTGTTATATTGATTTATAAAATTTATTTTGAAAGAAAGTATATACGAGGAGAAACATTTATCAGCACAATTTTTTTTTTTCGTAATAAATGTGTATTATTATTATAATGTCTTTTGAAAACACATGAATACATAAATAAATATTCCTGGACATTATCATACAGTGTCTAAAGTAAGCAGAACTTATACTATGAATACTAGACAACCGATAAATTTATTTAAATAAGACTTTCTTGTACTTGTTATACATATAAATTGTATAGACCCAATTTGCATTGTGTGGGAATTGAACCCACAAACATTGGAAAGTGAAGCGGCATGTTAAACCACATAAGATTATCAAAAGTAACAGGTCCAGTGTGCTTTATAATTTACCTATGACATTATAAGTAAATTCTTATTATACCAATTTTTATCTATATATGTAAGATTGCTCCGCTCAAAAAGGTGTTAAAATAAGCAAGGAGTAAATAGTAGCAAATAATTATATAAAGTAAAAAAAATAATATAAATATATTACAAAAATACTTACGTTCTTTAACCCATGAAGCAGCAGCGATAATATCACACTTGGTTTGTGTCAGGCAGGGGTATTGACCAAAGCCTTGTCAATTATTTACCCTTGTACCCGAAACAAGCAAAACTGTACACTCTATAACCAACCATAGCATCATGTTATTAGACCCAAACCACTTATTCATATAAGATGAAACTCATTTTAAGTATATATACAAATATACCATTTGCCTAAGCAAATTAAGTCATACTTAATGCACTATTAATATAAAAATCTTTAATACAAACGATAAAAATAGAGTTAACCATATCCCGTATTTTTTATATTTTAAAAATAATTATTATAGTTAAGAAAGTCCAACTATTTACATGCAAATTCATGCGGAAATATCTACCTACTTTATTAAGTAGGTAGATATTTCATATTATATGTTATTATTACATATGTTACAAAGTTTTACTGTTTTACTTTAAAACAAAGTAAATACTTTGTTACATATAATTTATTCTATATAAAATAATTTTCATTAAGAATTCTAATACTATATACTCTAAATAAAAATTCTATTTTTTATATCTTAGGGCAATATAGAAATCAAGTTTCTCAAATAGAGATAAATTCAAAATAAGTACAGTGCGTCGTGACTTGTGGTTCCGTGCCGTCCGGACTCATTACTTTTCAGGAACGTAAGGGAGCAGTACCTAACAAGGAAATCGGTATTAATGAACTCCGGAATTTTAGAATGCACAGATATAATGGGGAAAATTTTGTTTCTATACGCAATAATCATATATACTTCACACATGTAAGTATATCTGCTTACTTACATGTGAGTCATTCCATTTAAAATCGTCTAAAAATAAAAAAAATTGTTGCCGACCCATTTTAGATTTTAGTGTAACTTTGAGGGACTCTTTTCTAGGGTTCCTAAGAATGAAATTTGCACGAATTTGATTTTTATAAGCGCTTGATTCCGCGCATTTAAATAAAAACTTCAAAATATCGATTTTTTTTTAGCTTAATTAATTTTTCCTCAAAGTTTTTTCTTTTTGAAGATTATTCCATTATTGAACCGTAATTCTTAGGTGAATAGATAGTAGTTTAAGTATACCAAATAATAATTTGCTCAATAAATACCTACCATTAGCGACAGCGTGCTGAAAATGAGTGTTTTTAGTCATTTTTCGTGAATTTTAAGGGACTCTAGTGTCTTAACTGTTTGGAGTTAACAACTTCTGGTCGGCAGGAATTAAGTACACATATCATAGATAAAATTCAGCCATTGATAGACTTGAGCCGCCCACTCTTTATAGAAGATAACTTTGTTTGAAGTTTTGAAATTTTGAAAAATCGCATTATTCAACTTATAAAATGAATGTGTCTACTGCGAGATAAAATTCTGAACTTCTCAGAATCTTTTGTTCTAACCTTCAACTTTGGACGACTGTATCGCTTGTTTTGTTATTTTAATGTTTAGTGCATGTCCCAGCCGTTTTTTGACAGCAAAAATCACGTCAATTTTTTTTATATTATAATCATTATAAATTTAGTTTTTTTTTTATTTCTTTCCACTTATAAATATCATGTCTTACCTTTTTATTGATCCACAGGTACTTTTATCTTTACAGTTTATTACTAGACATTTTGAAATAAATTATGAACAAAAATAAATATGAATATGTGAAAAGATTTTTACAGATTCAATAGAATTATGGATATATTGAGTATAAAATTATCTTCAGAAGTAATAGTTACTGGAAAAGACAGTTACTGTAAACAAATTTAACTGGAAAATTATTTTTTATTCAACAATTGACGTTTTGGTCTTACAATATTAACAATATCAAAATTATCGGAAGCCGAGTATCTCCGCGCTTCCAGTTGATTTTGAGAAATTGGTATAAAACTATGATATGATCTCGTATTTTTAATTGTATTTATATTTATAAATCGTTCAGATAAGAACGTTTCAGCAGCTTCCACGTCTTGGCTTGATACATAAAAGAATTTAATGCCAGAAATTTTATTAGAACAAAAATCATACATGGCTACTGAAGTCTATTATTTACTTTCAAATGCGATAAAGTCAAATTATGAAGATCAATTTACCTTTACTCATATACAAAAATATATAAGGATATCGTAGATAAAATAAAATTTCGATTATGAATAAAATCATACTCTTAATCATTTAGAAAAAAATAAAAAAAATTGACGTGATTTTTGCTGTCAAAAAACGGCTGGGACATGCACTAAACATTAAAATAACAAAACAAGCGATACAGTCGTCCAAAGTTGAAGGTTAGAACAAAAGATTCTGAGAAGTTCAGAATTTTATCTCGCAGTAGACACATTCATTTTATAGGCTGAATAATGCGATTTTTCAAAATTTCAAAACTTCAAACAAAGTTATCTTCCATAAAGAGTGGGCGGCTCAAGTCGATCAATGGCTGAATTTTATCTATGATATGTGTACTTAATTCCTGCCGACCAGAAGTTGTTAACTCCAAACAGTTAAGACACTAGAGTCCCTTAAAATTCACGAAAAATGACTAAAAACACTCATTTTCAGCACGCTGTCGCTAATGGTAGGTATTTATTGAGCAAATTATTATTTGGTATACTTAAACTACTATCTATTCACCTAAGAATTACGGTTCAATAATGGAATAATCTTCAAAAAGAAAAAACTTTGAGGAAAAATTAATTAAACTAAAAAAAATCGATATTTTGAAGATTTTATTTAAATGCGCGGAATCAAGCGCTTATAAAAATCAAATTCGTGTAAATTTCATTCTTAGGAACCCTAGAGAGGAGTCCCTCAAAGTTACACTAAAATCTAAAATGGGTCAGCTTTGCCGATTAGACGATTTCAAATGGAATGACCCATGTATAATGCATAAAGTAGTTATGTTTATAATTACATGCAACACTTGAATATTTAATTTAAAACCGTTGCTGTGGTTTAGATGTACTGAATAAAACCACATATATTTTATATGGGTGTTGTTTGTAATGCTATACTGACATATTGAAACGAGATGTGCTATTGAATGTAAGTTACAAAAAAAATTATTCGACTTAGAATAGCAAGCAATTTAACAGACGACGTGGAAGGAAAATCGTTAATCGCCTAGGTACTCTGCACATGAACAGCACCATGGTCATTATAGCATGCCCATAAGGTAACGATCATAGTATGTCTTATCCGTTGTCATTTCTAAGAACTAAGGTGTTGTTAATACTTTCTAATTCAATTATTATTATACTGTATATATATATATATATATATATATAATATATATATATATATATATATATATACACACACAATAATATATATATATATATAATATCTACGTATTATTTTCTACTATTTATTTTGAGCCATTATTATATGAAAAAGATTCAGTTTTCATATATGGGCCTCGTAAAATAAAATAGTTCTTATTGGTTAGCTATTTTATTTCTTTTAAAAGTTAAGCAAGTTCAATTTAGGATTTTGTATCACAAACAAGTCAGTTCTTGAATTCTGACAAATTTAGTAGTAGGTACAGTTATTTTCTAACTGTTAAATAGATTAGACACAGGACAAGGTTTTTCTCAAAATTTACCGTTGTAAGCATGCTATTCCATTATGATATAGTACGTAAATATATATCTATCTAGAATTATTTCCCATAGTTAATTATAAAAAATATCTCACTATATTTTAGTACATTTTAAGATGAAATGCGATTAATTTGCAGCATGTAGAATATTTAAAATAGATGTCTATATTATGGTACTAGATAGAAGAATAATTATCAAGAGTAGTTAAAAATTGAAAATTTCGTCGTTTTTATCTGGCATAAAAACAATGTCAATATGGGACGATGAAATTTTCAACTATCCATAATCTATGTATATGTATACACACACCATAATACCGCACCATAAAGGGTAAGCATAAAACATAATAACCAACTAGATAGCGCCACTTTTATTAAAAGGTGCCAATAATTTATAATAAAGTGACATAATCATATCAATTCTTTTCTATAAACTAGTATAGGTATACCTGTCATATATCCACTATGTTTAATATACTGATAATGGATTAAATAAAATAAAATATAAATAAAGTTTAAATCATTATTTAATATTAAATATGCAGGTATATTTATTATATTTGGTGGCGTTAACTTGGTTATTATACAGTACAAGTTAATTAACGAAATTCATTTATTAAAACTAGTATTAATATTCACTGATAGGATCTCAGATTTGTTTTTCTAGAAAAAATCTTAATATTATCAATAACTACTTATAACTAATAGAATTTTAACTAATTTATTTTTTAGTTTTTGGTAATAATGATGGTAATAAAGATGTTTGTCTAGAAAAAAAAATCTGTGAAGATTGAATACCAATACTAGTTTAAGGAATGGATTTCATTATCATACTGTTATATAATAATATGATTATATTTTCAAAACTTCAGATTGAGTCTTTAAGTTATTTAGTATATTACGTAATTCGAAACAGTAGCAACAAAAAATCTTTTCGAGTGTTAGACTATGTCTAATGTAATCGTTTTGAGATTTCGAAAACATAACAATTAAAATTAAAAAAATAAAAGATTTAGACACAAATAAATATTAAATAAATGTTATTAAATAAAACCCATTTTATCTTACGAGAATATTCCACAAATGAGTAATATAGTATTTTTACGCAGCTGTTTCGTAATTCATATTTTATTTTATTTGTTTTAATGATGAATACATGATGTAATAATATATTGAATTACTAACCTATGTTCCGGTACGGCAGCAATTGTGACCAAGGAGAGCATATGCATGCCGGCAGTCAATGCTGCGAGAATATGCAGCACGAATTGGAAGCATTGGTACCGCCCGAAGTCTCCTGAAATAAAAAATTGATTATATCGAAGAGGTATTATAACATAATATTACGCAAATCAAATTCCATTATCATCCATTAAAATATGCGCCCCACTCCTCCGCAATTAGATACAGTTTCTGGGAAGTGGAAAGTATTGGAATAGAATGGTGAATAAGTAATATATATATATATATATATATATATATATTAGTAATATATATATATATTAGTAATATATATATATATTCTTCTTCTTCTTCCTTTACAATAAAGATCTATCCATAGTTTCAAGTCCCAAAGACAAGAATACTAATTAATCATTTGCAAGTGTAATTGTTTGAAAACACAATATAAGTTTAAAAAAGTTTAAAAAATATTGGCGATTTCAGTGATACGGCGCTATAACTTGCGACATTAAAGTTTTACTGCTTCTGTTGTACTCTTCGTACTACAATTAAATATAAATAGGTTATAATTAAAGTAAATATTATGAAAATTATATATAAAATAAAAAATTATTAAATAAAGTACACATATTAAAGTATACACAATTTGAACTAATTTTAATTAAATTTGATGTAGTGATAATTTAGTTACTATGTTAACGTACAAATTACAAATTTATATTGTAAAAAAATTGTCTCATTCTCATGAGAAAGAATAAACAAAATATTACGTATAAGCAATAATTATGCGAAAAAAATATAAAAATTATATGAAGATAGTAAGTATTATTATTTTGAAGTGGGTACCATATATATTGGCATTATTTATGAAATCAGTGATTCATACTACTACTACTAGCACTTCTGGTTCATTGTTATTCTCAATAAATGAAGTCAATTTTAATATTTTTGTATTTTATGTTTATAAGATAAACTTAAACTAAAATATCGGTTTTCTCACAACATGAACAATATTTTATAGGATAATTAGTGTATAATTGAACTTATGCCGACAAAGTCACGGGCACAGGTTGTGTACATTAAAGTGAATCAACTGATACTTCGATACAATTGTGTGACTTCAACATTTTATCGGTTTGTATTCGTTAAATATTTAGGTGTATACGTATAGACACTCATATCTTGTTTATTATAAGAAATATATTCAATATGCATATTCATGATTAAAACTTTTGTGTAAACATGTATAAAGCTGATAATTATTTTATAAGCTCTACACATTTTACGTAATTAATAAATAGTAAGGTCCTTTAGTTGATTTAAAATATACTTAATTTTCCGTAAAATAATAAAGTAAATGTTACGAAGCATTTATTTATTAGCATTAAGAAAAGTTCCATATATTAGTAGAGTTTAATATGTGTAAGAATAAATGTAAATATTTCGTTGATAAAGTTTAATAAGTATCCGTATGTAAAATAAATCAATGACAATAATATAAGTGTAATAATATAAAAATAAAATTTACTTAATTAATTTAATTACAATTTTATTAATTAAGGCTAATATTCTAAATATTTAATATTTATTATTACCAGTATTACTAATTTTTTTTCTCAAATACGTTTATATATTTTTATACACGATAACTATGTGAACCTATCTACTTATATAGAAAACATGGGTCAAAATGATAAGTTCATATCTAATGCTATTAATATCATACAGCCGCATACAAGTTTATCATATTTACTAACGTCTTATAATTTACGTAATTTAACATGACATAATTTCTCCATATTTTCTTGATACAAAAATTTTATAAACAAAAATATTTACTGCTCATAGTGCCCAATGGTAGGACGGGAATGGGTAATTGTAATGATAAGAATAGGCATAGCCGTGTGATCCCGGTATAGGCTAGGCCACCCCTTTTTATCCCATGGGTGTCGTAAGAGGCGACTCAGGGTGGGCGAGGGTTGAGCAGCAGCATCCCTCTTAAAACATCTTTAAAGTCTAAATGCGGTTGCCAATCCGCCTGTTAAGCGTGGCAACTACTGATATCCTTCTAAGGGGGAGGCTTATGTTCAGCAGTGCACAATTAAAAGCTGATATGATGATGATCATAAATAATAAGAAGTTTATGTACCAGCTGTTAATGACCTGTATATACTACCTTCTTATTAATTTTTAACGTGAATCTGTATTGAAACACAAGGTTGAAACGACACCCAATGGATTGTCTGGAACTGATTGAGACTTCACAGTAACGTATACCGCATATTATATTTTGATGCTGGGGTTAACCCCTTATTCATAAAAACTAAAACATTCTACAAATCTATTTTAACTATTGCACTGTCATTATTATGTTATGTACAGAATGTCTCAAAAGAAAGGTGATATTTGTTTTGGTTATTGCGTGGACGCAACTATTCTGAGGGACGCGGGGAGTATGTCATTCGGTAGTTTAGCTTTTGGGAATTTAGTCGTTATGGAGCGTTTCTCGGGATCAGACCGTGCGTTGTGCGTACGCGAGTTTTACAAAAACGGTAATTCATGAAGCAAATTTCCATTTCAATGGACATGGTAACAAACAAAATTGCCGATACTGGAGTGCAACTAATACAAAACACAAACATCAGAAACCCCTAAAGTGACCGTATGGGCTGCAATGTCGACGCAAGGGATTATCGGCCCTTACTTTTTTGAAGATGAAAGGGGACGCACAGTTACAGTAAACTCGCACCGTTATGTGGATATGTTAGACAACTTCTTCGTGCCTGAATTGCAAAACTTTCCTGGTTATAACCAAAGAACATTTTTTTCGTGATTTTTTTCCTGGCAAATTGATATCCAGGACATAAATTTGCCTCCACGAAGTCCCGATTTAACCCCTATGGACTTTTTCCTGTGGGGTTACGTCAAATTTAAAGTTTATGCCAACAAACCGACTTCCTTGTCACAATTAAAAGGTAATATGCGTCAAGAAATAGCAGCCATCACGGACAATACATGCCCAGCTGTCATAGAAAATTTTAGAGCTCGATTAAATGAATGCCATGAACGCAACGGTCTACACTTGGACGATATCATTTTCAAGAAATAAATTCCCAAAAAGTGTATTTTAATATGTAATATTTTTTTTTTTAATAAACTCCTTGTTTAATTTTATCGATTTTTAAATGTGAACTTTCTTTTGAGTCACTCCTTGTATTAACTATTCTCAATTTGACTTTTTATGAATAAAAGGTACCTATCAAAAACAGTTATAGCTTTATATCAAGTGGTTCAATCCAATAATTAAATATCTAAATCTATAAGACAAATCACATTAATTGTACCTACTTACTATTATTATAGTTTTATATTGCTCAATATTTGCCTACTAGATATAATTATATTACTACATATCATAATATAGTCATAGAAAATACTCGTAGTATGGTATGTACTTAATGTTTTCAGTACCAATTCACCTAGATATTTAAAACGTAGTTTATATTTACGTCATGCAATTTCTGTTTAAACAGATGGGCCTTGTTTGAATCAATTATTATGTGACCGATAACAGGACATTGTTACATTAGTGTGTTAAATCCGATTGAAAACGATTCGCATATTATTTAATATCGATATTTTATACGTCAGCATTATATTATAAGTATTGTTTTAATTTCATTTACAAAATAACATGGAAAAACTATTTTTCTTTTGTAATAATTAATAATAATTGGAATCAGTCATAGAATTATAAACAGTTTTTTTTTTTGGATAATGTATGCAAGCCTTGTTCAGCTGCTTTCATACTATTTATTGAGAATAAAACTACTGGAATAATTATTTCAAATTATTCCATATTCTTTAATTTATTTAAGTTAATTTAAGGTTAGGAAATTTACAAGAAGAAATAATAACAGAATATTACTTAATCCAATATAACATTAAAAAAATTAAAAATATATATAATTAAAGATAAAAAATTTCTTTGAGATCACTGCCAGCTGGTAGGGTGCCTAGGATACTTGCTGCATTTCCACGCTGAATAGCAATGGAAATGCGTTGACCAAAGTATAGGCCAGCCTTCTGATCACCAGAGGTTTCCACCAGCCGGCGTGAGATCTCTTTGAAAAGATTCATGGCCTCGGGGCCCCACGGACCCAGAGTTTCAACTCCAAACGCCGCAAATATATATCCATTACCAAGGGATGAATATTTACGGCGCTTGATAGACTCCTGGTGTGTTGCGGCGGCACCAGCCCTCTTGGATGTACTTGGAAGGTGAGACGGTGCCACCGTGTCAACGCAGGTGAAGTCCCATACAAGCGGACGTCCCATCCTCCAAGGTACCAAGGACATCCCGTCAGGTCTCTTGCCATCGTCACGTATCAAACCAGGAGGTTCTAGAATGGCAGGCACGCCCGCGGTGACAAGAGCCCGACGGAGAATGTCATTAATAGCTGAGTGGCGCAGCAAGCGCCCAGCACTCTTAAGGCAAGATAGGCCATGGTGTCCCAAGGCACTGACGTTGTCCCCACACCTGCAGTAGTGGGGAGCATTCGTTTTGGCCCCCAATCTGAGAGAGATTGAGAGTCTAAACGTTGCGTTATCCAATAATGTTCCGATATGAGGTGAGGGAATTGTGTGTAACCAAAGGCCAGATTCCCATTTGGACACCGCGAGAAGACGGGCGCTTTCAGCAGAGTTCTGGGAAGAGTCTAGTAACGAAGTTCTGTATAAATCATTAATGGGCTCATCCCATTGCCTCTGGATTTTGGGATTTATGGGAGAAGCTACATTGGGACAAGCCAGAGACCAAGCTTTTCTAGCCTCAGGCAGGTAAGCTATCTCGAAATCACCGAAAAAAGGTGTTAGTATTTTTTTCACGAGATTCTGCGTACCGTGCGCTGATGATAGAAAAGCTGGTAGAGAGATATGGGAGATTTGGCGGATATTCTTTAATTAGACATTGGTGCCAATTCATTTTGATGTATCCTTATTTTTTTAAGGCCTTTGAATAAGTACAAATGTTCTAATATATTAAGGTGTAAAGTTTTAAGAAAATAATACCTTTTCTTTCCACTATAATTTCTGCTCCGAAATTTATTTAATGTA